TATTTAAATTATTCTAAGAAACGGATGCAAAGTAAACAACAAAAGTAATTGAAAGAGTGATTTCAACATTTTATTCTTTGAAAGGGTTTATAATACATTTCTGAAAAATTAGATAACACATATTACTTAGAAAAGACAATATAATTTGTTATAAATACTAACACACTATATCAGTCAGAACAGTGCCCGGTATGAAAGGCTGATAAGAGAGACATTCATTGCCTATTACATTGGACAAGGTATGGCTAACTTAATGTGTAAAACTTATTTGGACAATTTCAAAATCCCAAATTCATGTTGCCAGCATTTATTTAAAAAAAAAAGAAAAACAAAACGTGGTAACCATGGGTATAACGGAAATGTATCAATTATATCAACTAACAAAATTTGGGAAAATAATAATAACAAAGAAATCTCCACTCCGATCGATATTGCATTGTTTGCGTCATTTCATTGTAACGCTTGACATTGCTTGTTATATAATTTTTTTGAATTTATTTTTGTGCTTATTATATGTAATATACATGTAATTCATATCTAATTTTAAAAATATAAATAAATATAAACATTTTCGATAAAAAAAATTATGTTTAGTCCATGACAGTATTTCATTATTATTTCTTGATTCAATTTGCCTCGTCGTAGAATAGATAACATGCACGGGTTCTAATGTTCTAGAAATGCATTGCTTTTTAAGATCAAGTTAATTGTCGTCTCTTGGAATTCATTAGTAGAGAAAAATATTTTTTGAGATGAATAGCAATTTCAAATTGCACTCCTTCCTGACACATAAGCTCAATGTTCAAATGTTAGGATATTGTTCAGAATTACCGTGATAATATTGGGAGGCCTAGATATTCTAGCATTTCATTGTTTGAAAAATAAATAATCGCGTTGTCTAAAATCGATCATAAAAGTGCGTTATCCAAAGACGTTCGAGCCACATATTAAAAAAAAATTATTAAGAAAAAGTGATGTCAATTAATACAGATATACTAAATAAAAGTTTTTCTTGTCTAATTCTTTATCCATTCAATCCTTGAATATTAATGTTTGAAACCACTGTAAGGAAAGGATATGGAGATAACGAACAGTATTCAATCTCAAAGTCCAAAAAACAATACAAAATAGGAGCAGAGCAAACACGGACCTCCGAAACATCAGAGGTGGGATCAGGTGCCAGGGAGTTGTGACCATCCCCTGCTGTCCGTTCACACCCGCCGTGTGCTCCTTGTCATGATCGGGAAGTGACGGAAAAAACGTCCTCAATTCAGTGTTTAGATAATGGACTAACAATTGGTATGAAAAAAGTCAGTCAGCATATGGCTCAATGATAAATTGTAATTGCTGACAAGGTCATTGTATCGACCATAGAACTTACGAAATGAAAACTTTAAACGAGACTGCTGATATTATTGTTTCATCAACTAGCTTGTCAATAATTTACCTCGTTTTAGAAATTGTTCATACGTAGAGCATGCTCTTGCGTATCGAATCAACTGAGATATATAAACTCCGTATGCAGATGATGAAGGTATATTGCTGCATAAGTAAGTGAAGTTGAGGATAGAAAAGTTAAAGTCATCACGTTTATCATAGAGTTTGGTTGGTGGATCACCATGTACGTCTTTTTCAAGTAAAATATACAAAGATAAAACAGATGTGTCAGACTCAGTGGTTCCTTTTTTTCTCAAGCTCAACAGGATATAGCGTATCGACGTTGGAATGGAAATTACCATTGTTAATTGACAATACGTCGTCGATATATCTAAAAGTAGAGTTGAATGCCACAGCAAGCGTTTTCCTTTCACGCATAAGATTCTTTACAAATTCTGCTTCATATGAATATATAAAAAGGTCTGCTAATTACGGAGCGCAATTGGTACCCATGGGAGTTCCGATAGATTGTTGGAATACCTGGTCTCCAAAAACCACTTAGGTATTGTCAATAAAAAATTCAAGCATCTTTTTAATGTTAGCTTCAGAGTACTTGTGTGCGCAATCAGAATGTGTTTTAACAAATAATTTTGCAAATGACCAATGACCAGGTTAGTTAATTTTTACGAGTTTCATTTTTATTGAAAAAGCAGCTGTCAATGATATCAGAAAACCTGGACTGTAATTTATCGTGGGGAATGGTGTGTATAAAGTTGAAAAGTCGTAAGTTTTAAAGCTGTGGATTTCGGTAAAATGTTGTGATTTCAAATTGTCCAAAAGTTCTTTGGAATTTTTGAGTATCCACATCTGATTCACACCACTTCTTGAATATATTGTTGCGCAGTACTCTTGAAGTTTTTCCTTCACTACTGTCAACATCTTGCTGAGGAGTAACGAAAGAGGCTTGGTTGAGCATTTACTGGAACCCGCAATGTATCTTTGTTTTTTTAAGGATTTTATGAAGTTTCGGAATCCAATATATATATGGGTAGTTCAAATTCATTTTAGCTCTGTGGAATATTCAAAATATTTAAAACTGACATACAATTTGAAGAATTTCTTCCTTAGAAAGGGAAGTATAAGTATAAGTAGGATTTCCTCTTGAAGAATTAAATCCAAGTTCTTTCTAAAATACAACTGATATAATGAGCCTTACAAACGAAGACAATATTATTACTTGCTTTGTCGGCAGGGACCAGTACGTACTGATTATGTAATCTATCTAATTCTTTTTTTTCACTTCTGGATTATTTAACACAGAAGGATATATGGTTTTCACATTGCCCCTCAATCTTTTAATATGCAACTTTATAATGGATCTGATACATTTAATCCATTCTCTTTCATATCTTGCCCATCGTCTGGCGTATTTTTCAACAGAATCCATAATATTTATGAAATTCCGACGCCAGTTGAAGGATTGGGGTTCCCTATATTTAGGACCTTTTAAAATAAGTGATCTAAGGTCCTCATTATTAACTATATTTTATTTAGATTGATTTAAAGAACAATTTACTCCATTAACCTGATCCAACAGGGTCTAGAAGCGTGTTTGACCGGGCGACAGAGATTCCTAGCCCCTGATCCCACCTCTGATGTTTCAATGAGTTTCAAAAATATTTTCTTCTTGTTCTTACCATCACCTTAGCATAGCCGCTAGGGCGCTCGCTCCGTGATCAGAAGGTCGTGAATTCGCATCTAAGTTCCGACTAACACGAGTTGATATAATATAGGTAGCAACTGTTCCATCATCATGTGTTCTGCACTTTGAAGTGGGAGTAGCTAGTCCTTCGAATGAGACCTGAACAAATCCGCGTCACGACAGCGTTAGCATGATAAAGAACCCTTACTGCTCAATGACCCAGAGTGCGGAGTAAAGATAAAAAAATTATAGCCTTAAAATCGGTATATAGTGACATCTCTTTATGAGTAAAACATTCTCAAATGGGACGTAAAACAAAGTACAATCAATCAATTAATCTTCCAGGATCTGGTTGCATGAACGATAGTTAAATTAACTTCAAGTTATAAGTGTGTTTTTTCTATGGTTCCAAAATATGAAAAAGAAAAGTAAAAAAAAATAATGATTTGTCTTAATTACACGGTAAACACTAATTAAATTAGTAGAGATAAAAAGATCGTCGTACAGTTTATTCATGAAAAGCCTATTAAATAAACATGGCATTTTTCTAAAATATTTTCAGGTGTTTGCAAAAATGAATCAATCAAATTTTGTGGAATGTGATACCTGTAGAAGGAGAAAAGGGATAGAAATTGCTGCACGATTCCATTGTCCGCATTGCAATGAAAGCTTTTGCTTACATTGCAAGTTTGCACATCAGACTTCAACCGATACCCTCGGTCATATACCAGTAAAAATTAACACAATAATTAGTAATGATGACACAAATGGAAGGTCACGTTGTCTGGAGAAATCAGAAACAATAAAAACTCTGGGTCTCAATCAGTCAGGAGATTATCATGGTAAAATCAAATTAGACGACCATTTCCTGAAAAGCATAGAATATGAAAACCAGAGCAACGGGGTTATGTACGAAAATAGTGTTTTTGATTCTTTTTCAAAAGCTCAAGTCCCTATATATGAAGAGACTGATAATAAGTTGCAAGACAATTTTAAAAACTTTCCATTAGTTCAAAAAGCTGATTTAAAATTCTAATGGCAATACACAGGAGAAATTGGCATCACCATTAAAATTCCAACCTCAACCAGTCCACGATCCAAAAACTTCTTCTTCGATTGATGATGTAGTAGATCCGCATGTTTTTGACACCCTTCGTTCTGTTCGATCTAATGAAGATGAAAAGGGAAGCGATGAGTTATTGATCGAAAAAACTCTTTTTGATTCTTATTCAAAAGCTCAGGTTATCAGTGAAGCGGATGAAAAGAAGTTTCAAGAAAAGTTTAGTAACAATCCATCATCTCTCAATGAACAATCCAAACTTTTTACCGATGCTTTACATAAGAAAATGACATCACCTAAAAACGTTGAACCAAAACCACTGCACAATGCAATAGCATTTGGTTCATTCGATGATACTGATTTTGAACCGCATATGGTTGATACCATTCCCTCCCTAAAAATCAATGAGGATGAAAAGGGAAGGAATGAAGCAGTGCCCGAAAATAGTTACCTTGATTATTCTTTGAAAGTACAAGTTCCCATTGATGAAGTGGAATATCATAATTTGGAAGAGAACTTGAGGAACATTCCAACAATTTCCAACGCCCAATTAACACTTCCTCATGATGTTACACAAAGGAAATTGGAATCAACAACAAAAAACCACCTAAAGAAGTTCCCAATACTATAGCTTTTGATTCACTGAATAATAAACCGCAAACAATTGACATCCTTCGTCGCAGACCGCACACTGCATTTAAAAGAAGAAAATCTTTCAAACCAAATGCTACAAGGGAAGAATCCATTGTTTTGTATTCAATTACATATTGTAATCATATTAGTTACGTAGCACCGGGATATTTGTGGATATCTGATGCAAAGGGAAATCTTGTCAGAAGAAATTTACAAGGACACGAAAAGATGTTACTTTTACCACATGTAACCACCTCACCAAAGTACGGGTTTCATTCTTCCACTGCAGAAAATGACCTTCTGTACATCATCTCTGGAAAAGATGAAAGTATCATCAAGAAAGTCCATTCAAGTGACAACACTACCATATCGGATGTTGCTAGGATTAAGGACTGGGAACCAATTAGTATTTATTCATCAAAACTTAACGGTGACATTTTTGTTGGGGTGAAAAAAGATGAACGCGCAAAAATTATACGCTTTAGTCAGGATGGACGTTTGCTTCAAGAAATAGAAAGGGATAGAAATAAAGACCCAATTTTTCAAGAGCCACGATACATTACAGGAGATTCCAATGGGAATATTTGGGTGACAGACTGGAACACAAAAAGAATGGCTTACGGAAAGATAATTATTTTAGATGAAAATGGCGAATATTGTTCATCCTATCCTCAGCAGAAAAACGAAAGGTTCTACCCAGCCGGCATATCTTGCGTTGAGGAAGGGCCAGCTATAGTCTTGGAGGGGGAAACTGGAAAAGTTATGGTATTGGAGAAATCATTTCAGATGCGACAACTCGATATCCATGCCTTCAAAGAAACCCCGGGTCTAAATGCATGCGGTTTGTGTGTTGGGAACACTTGCTTGTATGTTAGTGCTGGTGGACCATATATAGCTGTTTATCATTTAAGCAAATGATATACTTATAATTTGAAGTACCCGAAAACCCTTATTTAAATACTAAAGTACCCTTTTTCTCAGCAAAATACTTAACTTATCGTTTAAAACATATTATATTTTTCACCATGAACATATGAAATGTACGACAAAACTCGATTTTTCTTGCCCCAAAGAATGCTTTAGAGAAAATTACTGTTATAAGAAAGTTGGAGGACATGAATTACCCTGCCACAGATTACATACTCCTAAAGCTTCGTTAAATTGTTGTTAAAATCTATATTTCAATTAATAATTCTTTACATGAAATATGGAGACAGCGAACAGTATTTAAGTTCAAAACATTAAACAATTCAAATCAGGAGCAGAGAAAAAAATCAGGAGTGGGATCAGGTGCTATGGAGAAGTTATCATTTGCTGCTGACCGGTCACACCCGCCATGTGCTCCTTGTCACAATCCAGTGTATAAATACCGGTTTAACGTCAGCCAGTCTTTGACTTAATATGATAGAGTGTGTTATTGTATCTACAACAGATCTCACGAAATGATGCGTTTAAACAAGACTGCTAATATTCTTGTTCCATCTACATGATTGTCAATAATTTACCTTGTTTTAGAAATAGTTCACACGTAGAGAATGTTCGTGTATATCAAATCAACTGTGAGATTTATCATCCCATCTGCAGGTGATGAAGGTATATGGCTGCATAATTAAGAGGAGCTGACGTTTGAAAAGTTAGAGTCATCATGTTTATCATCAGGCTTGGTTGAAAGATTACCATGAAAGTCTTTTTCTTAGTAAAATATCCAAATGTTAATCAGAAGTGTGGACTCGGAGATATTTTTATTTCAAGCTTACCTGAATATATCGTATCGACAAAAGAATGCAAATAGCATTGTTAATTGATTTACGTTGTATCTTAGTCGCCCATCTTTGACGTAACAGCTAACGGCACTGTGTTACGAAAAGTCACATGCAAGATGAAAAGCAAAAAAGTAATAAACAGACAAAAATCAGTCTTTTGTGGTTGAATATGATTTTGTTTAAGACAGTCTTTTTAAATATAGTTATTCCCATACGCTTCTATAAGAATATGATATTTGAATCATTTGCAAAAAATTTCTGCATATATTTACATTTGATTTTAAAAAAGAAAATGCATATGTTGATGTTATACGGAAATGGTACTGTAAATCACTTTTTATTCGCGAGAACTTTATTTTCGCGTAATTACGCGAATCGCGAAAATTTAATTCTCGCGTATAATAGTATTCCTTAAGATTATATAGAGCAATAGCCACAATTTGCGAAAATTTTGTCTCGCTAATCAAGAGTCAATGACTATCTCACGGAAATAAGGTGTCGCGAAAATTTCGTGATCTACAGTATTTCGAATCTTTACAATATAATTTTTAAGATGATTTATCATTTTTTGTTGCATAATGTATCACATTTAAAAGTATTCATAACTTTTGACAAGTCTAGTTAATTCATACAGTTATTAATTATACTGTTTTCATATTTAATATGACACTACTTTATTGTTAAACTTGCATGTTTAAGGTTACTTTACAATAAGGTCTTTATTACAAAGACCATTAAATCATTTCTTTTTAACTAAAGAACAAGTATTATTTTAATACTCATAAAATGTACACGGCTCCTAGTTCTATTATAAAAATACATCATAAACTTTTATCCTTTATAGACCTTGGTTTGATTTATTGACAATATGTAGAAGATTGGATCGTAGCAATTGTTACCCATTTTAAACGTCATATTGGAACTGAAAATAATACCGTGATAATGGTTTGAAGTCTAAACAGTTTACAATGGGTTCATGCTTTAAATCAAATGTCAAATATATGTCATGGTAATAGGAATGTATTTATGATGACGTACATACAACATATACAAACACAATACAAATCTGGAGTCCATGATCAGAAAAAATAAATGTCTGCGAAATAATGTTTCTATTTAAGGGAGGATTCTTCTCTGGTTTCTGACTACATGGAATATTCAAAGTACATTTGTTGATATGTTTTATATGCTTAGATGTAAGAGATTTAAAAGACCATTTTTTTTTTTCCTTATCACAATTATACAACTTTTAAATAGAAATGGTAAACTGCGTTTGAAAACTAGCAGGGACTATATTTTTGGCGGAATGGTGGCGTATGAAAATATCTTCTTTTCTGCCCCTCAAAATAATTAGAAAACATTGAATTTAGTTAAATTTTTTACGCAATCAAAGACTTGCAGAAATTTTCAAATGTAAGTTAAATTAAAAATATGGGACTAAAGTTTCAAAATATATCAAATAAATAAGATTTTTCACACATACTAGATCTATGTTGGCTTTTAAATGCTTCAAATCTAAGTACAGATTTGAGCCAAAAATCCGTAAAAAGTGTTATTTCTCTCTTAGTTTAACGATCAAAACTTTTAGTTTTTGTATAATTTTGTACCTTTGTGTGACAACTTTAATATTTGTGAAAATTTGAAGAAGTTAAATATAGGAAGCATATAAAAATAAATAATAAACCCTAAAAATTTAAGAAAAGTAGAGAGAATTCGGATTAGCAAATACCTTTATTTACATTATCCATGTCAATTTGGTAGTATCATCTTATAGGCCCTATATGGTAGTATCATTTTATGCAAAAAGAAAAACATTCAATCTTTTGAATTACAAGTAGGGATCGCATGATTGGAAACAGTAATTTTTTATTCTCTTAATATCCAGGAAAAAGGTAATGACCTTGACCTTACCTTGCCTCCAATATTAAATGGTCAAATTTAATCTCACTGATATCATCACTTAGTGATGTTGTCCTCTTGATTTTGTGAAAATTTCATTAATTTTTAAATACAAGAAATGTGAGAAGAATCCTACCTTAATGATTCATGCGCGTTTAATTTTTATTTACGACAATGCATAAGCTTTTGAATACAAGATTCATGTCGATCTCTAATTCTAATGCCTCAAAGAAGATTCGAAGACATGTAGTGTTTTGCTGCATAATTCAGGGAATTTGACGATTGCAAAGCCATGTCTATTATACAGCTTGGTTGTTAGATTACTATTAACGTCTTTTTCAAGTAAAATATCCAAATATGAAACATACGTGTCAGTACATTCGTCGACGATGTATCTGAATGTCGAGGAGTTGAAGACCACTGCAAGTGTTTTCTTTTCATGCTTAAGATTTTGCAAAAATCCTGCTTCATATAAATACAAAAATAAGTCAGGTAATCTCGGGGCGCAATTGCTTCCTATGGAAATCCCAACAGATTGTTGGAAGAACTGGTCTTCAGAACCATACAGATATTGTCAATCAGAAACTCAAGCATATTTTCATGGCAACTTCATAGTACTTGTGTGTACAATCAGAATGTTTTTTAACGAATAAATTTGCAAATCACCAATGACAAAGTAAATTTACAAGTTCCATTTTTATTGAAAAATCGGCTGTCAATGATATCATAAAGCCCATACTTTTATTTAATTCATCGTTGAGAATAACTATGTATAAAGATTTTAAGCTGCTTATTTTGGTAAAGTCTTTGATTTCGAATTGTCAAAAAATACCTGTGCATTTTTAAGTATCCACATCTGATTTACACCGCTTCTTAAATATATTGTTGCAGTTAAACTCTTGAAGTTTCTCCTTCACAACTGTCAATATCTTAGTGAGGAGTCAAGAAAGAGGCTTGGTTGAGCATTTACTGGAACCCACCATTATCTATGATTGTAGGAATACTTAGTTTTGGAATCCAATACAGATATAGAAGTTCAAATTCAATTTGGTTCTTTGGGATATCAAAAATATTCAAAACTGACACATGATTTTAAAGAATTTCTTCTTTAGACGGGACCTATGAGTATAAGTTGGTTTACCACTTGTAGATTTAAATACAAGTTCTTCTAAAATACAGTTTATATAATGAGCCTAACAAACGAAGACAATGTTGTAATCTGCTTTGTGACAAGGGACCAGTACGTACTGATCATGTAATCTAACTCTTTTTTCACTTCTGAGTTGTTGAACACAGAAGGATAGATGGTTTTCATATTACCCAAATATATATAATAGTAAACAAATAAACAAAATCATTAAAATACAAATTTATACAATTTTAAACAATTTTTTGTATGATAAAAGGAACACTACATCATGAACTGAGCCATCTTTGTACACATTAAGTTAAACTGTTTTTTTTTTTTGTATCCCTTTTTAAAAAATATAAATTCAAAACTTAAAATCCCTAAATCATATTACATTTATCAAGGCCTTTAAGAGGGCTGTAAAAAGACGCATTTGTCCCTTACATTTGTGTTCTAAACACACATCCTATAACTAATTTTCTGCAGTGATGTTAAGAGGCACTAGGACCCATTTCACAGGTATAGGAACGACAGGATCCGATGTCGTGCATGCCATTTGGGATGGTGGATTTATTTCCATCGTAGGATCTAAGACAATGGTGAATGTCATTTGTGTTACGTTATCAGTAGTCGTCCGTCGAGATTTAGAAAACCCAATAACCATTGATCTGTAATAATCTAGCCTACTGTCTAGACTATCCTCGATTCCCTCATATTGAGGAACATCCTGTTTATAACGCTCTGATAACAATAATGTCCCCTCAGAGTTTTCTTCAGTACACATCATAATTATGTCTCCATTTCCAGAAGACGATGCCTGAATGGTAACCGTCACCTGAAGACAAAAAAAAAAGTAATACGAAGTGTTTACGTAAGATTCTATTATTAGATACTAAGACATTGTGTCAAATCCCTGTGGATTTTTTCACAAATTATGTTACGAATAAGTCAATCTTTTCAATATCTCTAACGAATAGATCACCAAAATCTTATTGTCTTACTCGTAAGATGTTTTTGTGAAAAGGGCCATTTAGTTTTTCAATGCATGCGGAAAACAACAATTATATCATTTCTATTGTTGACTGTTGAGCAATACTGATCCGTTTTTTAACTTTTTTGTAAATTTGTGCTTTTTTAGTCATATTTGGCAAAGAATATCACTACTTCCAAAGCACAGCAGTATATTCCTCTCCCCAAGCTCGAGTATCTAGTCCCAAAACCGTTTAAGTTTTGATTTCACTGTTACTCTAAAATACAAGCATGGCACACACCTCAGACGCCATGCTTTTTTCCCAAAATACGTACCTTATCATACTTATTTTATTTCCATCTTTTGACACTGGGACACATAAGTTAAAACAATTTTTAAACATACTCACAACATTTCCATTTTTACTAATAGCTGTATTCTCTATTGACGCCACAGGGGCCACATCGATTTTAAAAGTGGTCTGTAAAATCTCCTGACCGGAAATGGCCTTACATGTATAATTTCCAGCAACATCGTTATCCACTTTGTTCCATACTTTAGATGCCGTAAGATATATCCCATTATAATATGTATAGGACAAAGTCAGTTTTTCTTGTTGGTTGCCGTTGTTTTTCACAATCTCTATATATGGCAAAGGATTTCCTACAACCCGGCATGTAACAGAGCCAACTTTACCGTACACGAAATTAGAGGAGGATATCTCCTTAAAGGCCATTTCTCCTTTCAGGATGGCATAAATGAGGGAATTTTCTGCGGGCATGCTCATCCTATATCTTATTCCATGTGACATATTCTTTGTAGGCCGAAAACTCATATAAACATTCATATTGCCTCGCAAATTTGCAACATTGTTCGTTTTCGTTTCAAAGGTAACTCTTGTTATTGAATTGCTATTTGTCGATGTAATATAATTAATTTTTTCCTCAGGTATTCTATTTCTGCCATTTAAGTCATTTAAGTAAACACTTCCATTAATCCAGTACAATGTGCTGCTATATTCTACATCTCCTCCGTTATTTCCCGCCTTTTGTAAAAGTTTAAAATCAACATGTGTCTTAGTCATTTCATTTTCAACCATTCTTTCATTTGTTTTATACTTCATAAATGTTGTCTCAAATTCGCTGTTTGTGCCCTCGGTTCCCATATCGCAAACTACTGAAACAGATTTTCTTTGGTCGACGTAGGCCGTCATGAATAGAAACGATGCTGTTGAGTAGCAGGTGACATTATATTTCCCATCAACTCTGAATAGTTTTGGATTTGGTATGGTTGAATATTCGTTAATGGCCAGTAGAGAAACTGTTGAAAATATAACATATAATTATATACCATTCTCACAAATTTAAAAATTACCACACATTGTACAATAACATGTGATATTATAGCCACTGAACAAACAAGAGCTTTGCATTTACATATCAAAATTAGATCTGGAAACCGCACATATTTTTGTCATGAGTCATGAATATTTGACATACATACCCGGTGTCATGAATATTTGACATATATACCCGGAGTCTTGAATAATTGACATTTATACCCGCAGTCATGTATAATTGACATATATACCCGGGGTCTTGAATACTTGATATATATACCCGGAGTCATGAATATTTGACATATATACCCGGAGTCATGAATATTTGACATACATACCCGGTGTCATGAATATTTGACATATATACCCGGAGTCATGAATAATTGACAAATATACCAGGAGTCATGAATAATTGACATATATACCCGGAGTCATGAATATTTGACATATATATATATACCCGGAGTCATGAATATTTGACATATATATATACCCGGAGTCATGAATATTTGACGTATATACCCGGAGTCATGAATAATTGACATTTATACCCGGAGTCATGAATATTTGACATATATACTCGGAGTCATGAATATTTGACATATATACCCGGAGTCATGAATATTTGACATACATACCCGGAGTTATACCCTCCAGAAGATCTGTCCAGCTGCATACAAAAAAAGTCCCCTCGGGTGCCTCAATATGAGCAGTACACGCACTGTATTCGGTGCTAGTCCTGGAAACTTGGACAGATGTTACTTCGAACGGAAAGGTAGAAAACCCTTCCTCGTCCTTTAACATAAAGATCACAATATATAAGTTGATTTTCAGTTGAGGTTGAAGTTTGTATTGATGCATGTATATCTGGATATTTAACAGAAAAGACGTTCATAGTAACATTACAATTCAATTTAAATGATAAATGATGGCACAACTTTTCAAACGTCAACTTCTCTTATCTAAGAAGCAATATACCCTTATCACCTTCGTACGGAGTTTATATCTCTCAGTTGATTGGACGCGTAAAAGCAAGTTCTAAGTAACAATTTCTAAAACGAGACAGAAACAAGTTGATGAAAGAATATCAGCAGTCTCGTTTAAAGTCATCATTTCGTAAGTTCTAAGATTGATGTAACGATCTTGTCAGCAAATGCACTTAATCATCAAGTCAAATACTGACTGACTTTTTCATACCGGTACTTATTGTAAAGACCATTATTTACACACTAAATTGTCGAAGGAATTATCCGTTATATCCCGATTACGACTAGAATTACACGATGGGTGTGACCTTTCGGCAGGTTATGCTTACACCTCCATGGCACCTTATCTGACCTCCGATGTTTTAGAGGTCCGTTTTTGCGTTTCTTCTGATTTAAAGTGTTTCGTGGACTTTTTAAACCTGCATACTGTTCTCTGTCTCCAAATATTTCATGTAAATGTAATGTTTTATTCTTAGCACTTTCTGCTTGACATACTTGTGTATTCATAATGAAAACCAAAACAATAATATAATAAAACCTTCTGGTGTATTTTTTCTAAAAATAATTTTTCATAATTTTTTTTATTCAGTGATATACATGTATAAAAGGAATATAATCTTACCTTCTCCTCGAGGGTTTCATTTTGGTGTCTAATGATATTTGCAAAGAAAAGCCTCTTTAGTGTATCCTACATATGCGAAATTGTATAAATGTACGTAATGCAAGACAAATATTAAACGTCTTATTAAAATAAAATATACAAACTTTAACAAACTTTATTTCTCTGGCTTATGTTAACGGGGTGTTCTCTTATACAGTAAAAATACACAAAAAAATTCAATAAAAAGTCTTTCCTCGCAGATTCAGAAATCGTTTTTGAGTACGAGTAATCCCATTATCTGTGACTTTGTTGTGAAGTACTTTTTGATCCAACTTCTGGATTTTAGGGGTTCGTGTTGAAGTACTCTACACAGATTTTTGAGATCAGTCTGTTAATTATCTTCAACCTATTCATTTATTTTATCTTTTTCCCTGGATTATGCTGTTCCTAGTTTGAATATTTCTAGGATATGTATATAGATATTTAATATCTAAAGAAATCGATATCATACCTCATCTTGTTTGTTTGTCTCTGTACTATCTTCTGATTTTCCATTCTCTTCACTCTTTAGTATTTAATGAAACATTTTAATTTACAATGACTGTTGGTCTAAAAAAAAGACCTGTACGAAGCAATTTTAGATGGATGGTGGTGGAGCACAATCAAACATTGAAAAATTGTGGGAAGCATCCACACACCATCAACCCCTTTACGACCATGCAAAAAGGAAAAATAAAACTCCCGTCCTTACCTCTTCCGAGGAATCTTCGCATGATGAATCCTACTCAAATTAAAAAAAATAAATCCTATACATACAGAAGCTAATAGTGAAAACGCAAATCTGGTATGCTTTAGAAACATCTGTAAATATTTAAAGAAGAGTTTTACCAATTTATTTTTTTGATGTTTTGCTTTTAATGCCTCAACGTCGGCCTTCAATTCTCCGTACTTTATCCAAAGTTTATCTATCTGAAAGTACAATCACAGAAATTAGAATCTCTAAGGTAAACAGGAAGGGAAAAAAATTGTATATCAGTACGATTCAATTCTTTATTTTTACCAATTTACCAGTTTGTATATGTACGCCACAGTACGGTCAGATCCAAAATAAATTATGTATGAATGATTGATTGCATATTGTCGGCAATTTTTCAGCCATGTATGTAAAATCCCCATACCTTGGGATTAAAATTAAAGAACATGACTAGAACTTCAGTGTTTGAAAACTGAATACGTATTTATATAAATTAAATGAATGAATAATGATGAATATTGATATAAGATGAAAACTATTTTATGTTTGTGTTTGGTATAAAAAGTTTTCATCCCGTTAGCTCCTTCTTTACGAAAGCCGGATAGGCTCATTTCTGAAAAGATAAAAAAATATTTAACTCGTTATAACGAGTTAATTATCTCGTTATAACAAGTTAGTATCTCGTTATAACGAGTTAGTCTCGTTATAACGAATTAGTATCTCGTTATAACGAGTTAATTATCTCGTTATAACGACTTAGTTTTATCTCGTTATTACGAATTACTTATCTCGTTATAACGAGTTAGTATCTCGTTATAACGAGTTAGTTATTTCGTTATAACAAGTTAATTATCTCGTTATGACGAGTTAATTATCTCGTTATAACGAGTTAATTACCTCGTTATAACGAGATAAATAACTCGTTTTAACGAATAAGTTATCTCGTTATAACGATTTTGTTATCTCGTTATAACGAATTAATTATCTCGTTATAACGAGTTAATTATCTCGTTATAACGAGTTAGTTATTTCGTTATAACGAGTTCATTATCTCGTTATAACGAGATAAATAACTCGTTATAACGAATTAGTTATCTCGTTATAACGATTTAGTTATCTCGTTATAACGAGTTAGTTATTTCGTTATAACGAGTTAATTATCTCGTTATAACGAGTTAGTTAACTCGTTATAACGAGATAATTATCTCGTTATAACGAAATGATAAGTTTCCCCTTTATTTCCAAATTTAATAGCAATATAGGAATTAAAAATGGCTGTAGTTTCAATGCCATTGATAAGTATAGCAATCTTTATTTGAACACATTTACACATTTATACGTGAACGTGTCCAAGGACATAATATTAAAAAAAATATATTTCCAAATGTACTTGCTTCAAAGTTTGGCAATTTATGGTATGACAACTTTCTCCGATAAAAGACATTTTTTTAATATGTTTTGGATGATTTATTAGCTTTCATAATCAATGTCTAAGAATCTAAATTAATACATTATAATAGCAGCCTAACGCAGGCATTAATGCAACATATATCATATACACAAAAATGTTTTGAAGAAGGGGGATATGGAAACATCAGCAGTTAGGTCATGGGCGTAAAATTCGGGGGGTACTGCCAACACAACATCACGAGGCAGTCATAAGTTTTCGTATACATGTATTTGTCTTCGGTCTTTTAGGTAAACAATACAAAACAACTGCATCGTTTATACATAAACGAACTACAATCAAAGGCACAACCCCTCGAAAAACAAAAAATACTAGTTTGTTGTTTTTCAACAAAATCTTTATCATACACACTTTAAACAAACTTGATCGACTCGGTTTGATATGCTATACTTCCTATCATTTAAATATATCAACTTAAGACCAGTGTTTAACTCGTTATAACGAGAAAAATTAACTCGTTATGATGAGATAATTAACTCGTGATAACGAGAAAACTAAGTCGTTATAACGAGATAACTAAATCGTTATAACGAGATATTAACTCGTTATAACGAGATAATTAATTCGTTATAACGAGATAACTAACTCGTTATAACGAGATAATTAACTCGTTATAGCGAGATACTAACTCGTTATAACGAGAAAACTAACTCGTTATAACGAGATAACTAAGTCGTTATAACGTGATACTAACTCGTTATAACGAGATAATTAACTCGTTATAACGAGATAACTAACTCCTTATAACGAGAAAACTAACTCGTTATAACGAGATAACTAAGTCGTTATAACGTGATACTAACTCGTTATAACGAGATAATTAACTCGTTATAACGAGATAATTAACTCGTTATAACGAGATAACTAACTCGTTATAACGAGATAATTAACTCGTTATAGCGAGATACTAACTCGTTATAACGAGATAATTAACTCGTTATAACGAGTTAAATTTTTTTTCATCTTCTCAGAAATGAGCCTATCCGGCTTTCGTACTTCTTTATAAAATACTCTAATTAACAATATCAAACATTTGGGAGTTTGGGTGTAATTGCTATTTAAAATGCTAGATCAGATTACAATGCCTATAAAAAGATACATTTGAAAACATAGTTACCTCCTCAGATGAATCTTCTTTGGATCTGTCCTGTAGGTGTACAATTGAAATTTTAAATGGTAGTTAATGAAATTTTAATTTAGGAAAATCTTTAAAATACAAGCAGCTAATATTAATGTTCTACTTCGCGTGGTCAGGGCTTTAGAATTGAGATGCGCATTGGATATCTCGAAATGATTTACTCGTACCATGTATCCCTTACCTCGTTAGATTTTATGTCCTCGGCATTATTTGACGCAAGGAAAACAAACATCATCAACACGAGACTGACAAACATAGCTGCAGTTCTCTGTATGAGTTCTGGTTTAGCTATAGCTTTAAAATCCGTCTAAACACGGCTTGTGGCTGTTATTGAAATAATGACTGTAAAATATTGTTAATATAAAGAGTAAATGATACCATGTGGATTAATTCAGAAATAAAGTCCAGGAGCTGAGCAGAAACGTACGAAAGCCATGAAGGGACACGTCGATTTTTCAAAAAAGTAAAAATTAATTTGAGATCTCGAATTACACAATCCGTTCCCTCGATTTATAATTCGAGATCTCGAAATACACAATCCGTTCCCATGGATTATTAATTCGTTCTCACAGATTATCAATTCGTTCCCTCAAATAACACAATCCGTTATCTCGGATTGTAATTCATTCTCTCGGTTTAAACAATTTGTTCCCTCGGAATGTTAACCCTTCTCATGATTTCATTCACTCAGCTATCTGTACATACTAGTATCGGATATGGCATTACGTGTTTTAATGAATAAAATATTGTAGTTGTTTACATCCTACCTTTAGTTACATATTACCGTCCAAAATGAGAAAATTACATGAACATGACTCAAATCCATATTCTAGAACTGATATTTATACAAAAAAGTCCTGGGTTTTGTTTTACGTTTATATTAGAATAATTGAAAGTCCTATATAGTAAAAGTAAATATGACTCCTGTGTAAATATTTTTATCTGAATAAATATACGTTGAATTAGTTATAAAAGAGGTTCGGAACGACCACGGTTGCTAAAACAAATTACATGAATCGCATTAATTGATTCAAATAGTTGGATTTGAGTGTATCCAACATTACATGTATACATATATACATTTAATAAAATTCGCGCGCACTGATTGCCAAATTCATAATACTGATGTTAAAAATCGAGATCTCGAATTATTATTAATCCGTGGGATCGGATTGTGTAATTCGAGATCTCGAATTATAAATCGAGGGAACGAATTAGTAATCCGTGGGATCGGATTGTGTAATTCGAGATCTCGAATTATAAACCGAGAGAACGAATTGATAATCCGTGGGAACGGATTGAGAAATTCGAGATCTCAAATTAATATTTACTTTTTTGAAAAATCGACGTGTCCCTTCATGGCTTTCGTAGAAACGAAAGCCATGAAGGGACACGTTGATTTTTCAGAAAAGTAAAAATTAATTTGAGATCTCGAATTACACAATCCGTTCCCACGGATTATCAATTCGTTCCCTCGGTTTATAATTCGAGATCTCGATTTACACATTTCGATCCCACGGATTATCAATTCGTTCCCTCGGTTTATAATTCGAGATCTCGAATTACACAATCCGATCCCACGGATTATAAATTCGAGATCTCGATTTGTAATATCAGTCTTATGATTTTGGCAATCAGTGCTCGCGAATTTATTACATGTATATATGTATATAATTATGTAATGTTGGATACATTCAAATCCAACAATTTGAATCAATTAATGCGATTTATGTATTTTGTTTCAGCAAACGCAGTCGTTCCGAACCTCTTTTATAACTAATTCAATGTATATTTTATTTAGATAAAAAACAATTACACAGGAGCCATATTTACTTTTAATGTATAGGACTTTCAATTATTATAATATACACGTAAAACAAAACCCAGGACTTTTTTTATATAAATATCAGTACTAGAATATAGATTTGAGTCAGGTTCATGTTATTTTCTCATTTTGGACCGTAATATGTATTAAAATGTAGGATCTAAATACCTACAATATTCTATTCATTAAACACGTATTGCCATATCCGATATGGACAGATAGCTGATATCAATGAAATCGTCAGAAGGGTTTACATTCCGAGGGAACGAATTGTTTAAACTGAGAGAATGAATTACAATCCGAGATAACGGATTGTATTTTTTGAGGGAACGAATTGATAATCTGTGAGAACGAATTGATAATCCATGGGAACGGATTGTGTATTTCGAGATCTCGAATTATAAATCGAGGGAACGAATAGGTAATCTGTGGGAACGGATTGTGTAATTCGAGATCTCAAATTAATTTTTACTTTTTTGAAAAATCAACGTGTCCCTTCATGGCTTTCGTAGAAACGTTCATTGTTCAATTATTTCAGATATATAGTAATTAAAAACTCAGCTTTTTCACTCAAGCAGAACAGAAACCATAAAATGAGCACAAACTACTTTGTATTCATTTAGTGGGAGTTTGCCATTCTCCATTCTTTTTATCAAAAATGTATATATGACAAAATTGTCCTGTACAAATTAAGAAAAATAATTTGGTAGAGGACAGAGCAAAGGAAAATTATACATGATATCGTTATTTATTCCAGTGGTTTCAAAGGATGGGGTGACTGGACTTGCGGTAAATTGACAAAAATTTAAATGTCTCAATTTTACTCAAATTGTTGTATGTTACTAAACACTGTTATGTGCACTGTGGCAACGCACTTTGAAAAAATTACGCACTTTGAAAAATTTTTTCAAAGTGCGTTAAAATTGGGACAAAATCAACGCACTTTGAAAAAAAATTTTCAAAGTGCGTTAAATTTGGGACCGACTCAACGCACTTTGAAAAAAAATTTCAAAGTGCGTTAAGAGTCTACATCAATATATTTTACCATGGAGGCACTTAACGCACTTTGAAAAAAAAATCATATTTTAGTCATGGAAAGATTTTCTTTGTTATTTATCTTTCAAAAAACTAAACCTAACCCTAACCTCAAAAATGAATTGATTTTACTTCCGTCGAAAAGAGGAGAAGACGGGTATAAGATCCCTAAGTCCAAATCTTTATCTTTCCAATACATAGGTGTCGGTAACAAAGGGAGGAGGGGAGCAATAAACCTAAAAAGGGTACGCTGCATTTTCAATGCTTATACGATGTATATATCTTTCCAAAATATAATTCTTTATTCAATAACTTTAAGCCATGTGGCTCATCAGTTTATATAAACAAAAATACATAATGACGAGAGGTGAGAGTCTGCGGGGGGTGGAACCCCTAGTGTCCATCTGCCTGAATCCCATACTGATATACACCAACAGATATACAATATATTTCCAATTCTCCATTATTACATAATTAAGTGTGGGGCTTAGCCCCCCCCCCCCCCATCCCCTCCCCTGGCCCTTCGCCAGTCTCGATGTCTATGCTATACTCAAAGCATTCACTCGTATAATTATGTATTAACCTAACTGGCATGACTTTAAAAACTTTCAATAATAAATGAGTTAATTAAAACAGATGAAAACTAGAAATTTTTAAGTACAGTAAAATGTATGAGAGAGAAAGAATTTTATAGTTTTGAACAATCAAATTGGCCCCTTTTTATTATGATAAATGCTAAGTTGCTTGAAGCTGTCCTCTGTTAGTGCCCCCTATACACCTTTACATCTACTTATGAAAGACTAGAATAAAAAAAAAGAAAGAAACGAATTAATGAACTTAAACAATCGTCATTCTTTTTTTCAAGACCCTTTAATTTTCCCTTTTATTTTATCAAAACCTTTATTTTTAAAACGTCAGTATCTCAGGTCCTACAGTGACTTTATCATAAAAAAAGTTATCAAACCAGGATCTGTTATTTATCATACCGATTATTTGAAGGAATATTGATCAATCTTTACATTTTTTTCAAAGTGCGTTAATATGGTCGATATTAACGCACTTTGAAAAAATTTTTTTTTTTCAAAGTGCGTTAGCTTGGTCCCAAATTTTAACGCATTTTGAAAAAAATTTTCAAAGTGCGTAATTTTTCAAAGTGCGTTGTAACAGTGCACCTTTGAAGAATACTATTCTAAAGAAAATAGAAACGTGATTTGAAAGATATAGATCTTTTTATTGGGGTAGGACTATCATGTTTACATCTAACTCCCATTGCATTTTAACCCCGCCCCACTCTTTCAAGCCCTTAAAATATACGAGCGCAGTTAGGTACAATTTAATTTTCTCCTTTGGATGGTCACTGTATTTTATTCTATTTCTGATCATTCTATTTTATCAATGAAAGTTATTCTATTTTATCAATGAAAGTTAGAATTCTCGAAACGATTTATCACCACACAAATAGTCCGTCGCTGAGTACATTCCGTAGCAGGGACGGATCCTGCAATTTTTGAAATGGGGGGTTCCAGGGTTGTGCCCCTTTAACCCCCCCCCCCCCTTACACACTCTCAAGCAAAGATTCACACACACGTATGGAAAGAAAATAATAACTTTGTTTTACGTCTTTTTTTTTCTTTGAAAAGGTACTGTACCCCCAGTGCGAATTAAAAAAAACGAACACATTTCAAAAACTACTGAAGCCTTAAATTAAATGGATTTGCAGCATTTCTGAAGAGTATAAAGAATTTTCTTTTAGAATTTGAAAAAAAAAAATTTGGGTGGGATGCGGATGGGGTGTAAACAAAGAGTTACAAGTTAGTTCCTTCAAAAGATATATGATCAAAAACGGTACATATATTATATAGCCAACACAGCCTCAGATCGCGGGAATCTAATATCAAATTAAACCTCGCATGTTACATATCATATCTGGTATATAAAATAAGTAGAATATTTTCTACCATTCTCTCATAAAAAAGTAAAAGTGAAGGTGAGTGGAGGAAACTAAATGTGTGAGACTCTATCTATTCAATACATAAGTTAGACGTACAAATATTTATTCTCGGAAAACGTTTTATCCCCCTCTCTCTTTCTTTCTCTCTCTCTCCCCACTTGGCAAAAAAATAAAGGGGGGGGTTCCAACCCCCGGAACCCCCCCTCTGGATCCGCCAATGCGTAGGCAACGAGAAGAATTTTGGATTTTTTTTTTTTTTTTTTTTATTAAAAGCATATGCAATATACAACATAGTGGATATAAATTGTAACATACATCACAATTAATGCTTTTTATGTTCATATCAGAGTAGTTATATTACTTCTATAGAGAAGAAAAGAAAAATATATAAATATATCATACGTGTCATTGGTATATAACAAGCATTTTGTTTTCTTTTATAACATTCATAAATTTATCTGTTCAGTAGTTATATTACTTCTATAGAGAAGAAAGGAAAAATATATAAATATATCATACGTATCATAGGTATGTAACATGCATTTTGTTTTCTTTTATAACATTCACAAATTTATCTGTTCAATTTAATGCAATTAGTCTAAGAGCGTATAAACATAGAATGTATAATACATATGGAGAAATAAATAAATATTGAATCCAGGTAGCAAAGGGAGTCCTACTCAACACCAGCACTGTCCATAATGAGGACCCCTAGCTACCACACATGAAGACTGGTTTCTTCATGTGTTGGATATGTCATTGTCTACACCATAATTTTTTTCATAAACAATTTGCTAAGTCATTGTACATGTTGTTTCTTATTTTACCAGTTTTTTTCACAATAGAATTTTGTAAAACAAGCCAAGATTTCAAATTTTCTTCTGACATTCCTTCATTATTGAATCGACTCTTCATTTTATATTTATAGATTGTAAAACAAATAAATGAGATAAGATTATTCAAAATACATGTTTTCTCTGATAAATCACCAAAAAATCCCAACATAATACGTTTCCATGAAACATTAAATTTTAAAAATATACGAATTTTCCTCCACAAATATGTTGTAATTGTACAAGAAAATAAAAGATGTTCACTATCTTCTGATACATTACATAACTCACACATTGGTGATACATCTTTATTCCATTTACTTACACTTATATTAGTATTTAACAGACAGTTAATCAGTTTGTAATTGAATTTTGGATTAGAAAACTAGGGACAGCCTTTCCCTATGGATGTAATGACAATGTCGATAGTGTAGGAAATCTTTCCAGTCCACAGTGTAATAATGTAAATGTGATGGGACTAGTTTTAACCATACTCAGAGACGTAAGTGTAGTCATGGGCATCGTTCGTACAATAAATCTGCAATACACGACGTCTCCTTTGATTCATTACTACCTTATGTAAATCAACAGTTAGGTCTACATCATATTCGAACAAAACTTTACTCTGTCCCTTTGAAACTTTTAAATAGTCTTCTTGAAAAGGCCAACGAACATCCAATTTTAGATTCCTCGTCACCAGAATATAGGCTCAGATCTGTTATTATGGATATTGCATATCATAGGCTTTTTAAAACCGTACGTTTCACGGAAGAAAATGCAGCTAAAACAATCTGTCTTTTCCTTAAACTTCAATATGCCAATAAAGGAATTGACGCGGTTAAAATAAGTAAAATTCTTAATCACAAAAGGGTCCAGTCTTGTATTCCACCCCATATTTCAAGTTAAAGACTACACCTTGCATTTCCTTCAAATATACATCGACCATTGCTTCCAAACTTTTCAATTACAAAAACACTTTACATGGCCTGGATACCGACTATCTGAAACATAATCCTCCTTCGTGTTCATGTTCTTCTTCGCCCTATAGCTATAGTCCTGCTGGACACGTTATTACAGGTGACGTAAATATAGTTCGTAATGAGGACCTTAGACCGCTTATTTTAAAAGGTCCTAAGTATAGGGAAGCCCGATCCTTCAACTGGAGTTGGAATTTCATAAATATTATGGATTCTGTTGAAAATTACGCCAGACGATGGGCCAGATATGAAAAGTAAGACGTTGACACATTGTCAGAATGGATTAAATGTATCAGATCCATGTTATAGTCATGTATTAAAAGATTGAGGGGCAATATGAAAACCATCTTTCCTTCTGTGTTCAATAAACCAGAAGTGAAAAAAGAATTAGATAGATTATACGATCAGTACGTACTGGTTCCTGCTGAAAAAACAGGTAACAACATTGTCTTCGTTGTAAGGCTCATTATATAAATTGCATTCTAGAAGAACTTGGATTTAATTCTACAAAAGGTAATCCTACTTATACTCATACTTCCATTAATATGGAAGAAATTCTTCAAAATCACCTGTCAGTTTTGAATACTTTTATTATTCCACAGAGCCAAAATGAATTTGAACTACCTAATATATATTGGATTCCGAAACTTCATAAGAACCTTACAAACAAAGATACATTGCAGGTTCCAGTAAATGTTCAATCAAGCCTCTTTCGTTACTCCTCACTAAGATATTGACAGTAATGAAGGACAAACTTCAAGAGTACTGTGCAACTATATATTCAAGAAGTGGTGTGAATCATATGTGGATACTAAAAAATTCGAAAGAACTTTTGGACAATTTGAAATCACAAGACTTTACAAAAATAAAAGCTTAAAAACTTACGACTTTTCAACTTTATACACAGCAATTCCCCACGACAAATTAAAATCCAGGCATTTTGATATCATTGACAGCTGCTTCTTCAATAAAAACGGAACTCGTAAATTAACTTACCTCGTCATTTGTCATTTGCAAAATTATTTTGTTAAAACAGATTCTGATTGCACACATAAGTACTCTGAAGTTGACATCAAGAAGATGCTTGAGTTTCTGATTGATAATATCTATGTGGTTTTTTGGAGACCAGGTATTCCAACAATCTATTGGAATTCCCATGGGTACAAATTGCGCTCCGTTATTAGTATACTTATTTTTATATTCATATGAAGCAGAATTCATGCAAAATCTTATGCGTGAAAAGAAGAAAACACTTGCTGTGGCCTTCAACTCGACATTTAGATATATCGACGACGTATTGTCAATTAATGATGGTAATTTCCATTCCTGCGTCGATACGATATATCCCGGTTTAGCTTGAGATAAAAGATACTACAGAGTCCGATACTTCTGTTTCATACTTCGATATATTACTTGAAAAAGACACTAATGGTAATCTTACAACCAAGCTATATGATACGTGATGACTAACTTTTCTATCGTCAACTTCCCTTACTTATATAGCAATATACCTTCATCACCTGGATACGAAATATATATATCTCAGTTGATTCGATACGCAGGAGCATACTCTACGTATGAACAATTTTTTAAACGAGGTTAATTATTGACAAGCAAGTTGATGAAACAAGAATATCAACAGTCTCGTTTAAAGTCATCATTTCGTAAGTTCTATCATGGTCGATACAATGACCTTGTCAGCAAATACAATTTATCATTAAATCAAATGCTGACCGACGTTTTTTCATACCAATTGTTAGTCCATTATTTATACACTGAATTGGCGACGGATTTTTTTCCGCTATTTCCTGATCATGACAAGGAGCACACGGCGGGTGTGACCGGTCGGCAGGGGATGTTCACTCCTTCATGGCACCTGATCCCACCTCTGATTTTTCGGGGGTCCGTGTTTGCTCTGCTCTTATTTTGTATTGATTTATGGACTTTGAGACTGAATACTGTTCGTTTTCTCCATATCCTTCATTGAAATCTATCTATATGTGAAAGAAGAAAATGTACCTAACTGCGCTCACATGCTATTTTTTTAATTGTAAAATCTAGCTGTCCTTTCCCATAATAAACAGATTGACGGAACTATATTATCTGACGTAAGAATTAATTCATATGTTAATCGAGGCACTGGCGATACTTTCTAACAGACCAATCAGCTAAATGAAATTTTGTTACGAGTGAGTACCACTATGCTATGGAATCAACTGCTTTCCGATAATTTTTTATGCATTTGAGTCACATATTAGACACGGATCTACATATGTACAATTTCTTAGATCACAGTAAAATTTATATACAGTTACAAACAATTGATAAATATACATTAGTTTAAAGTTTTGTAGCGTGTTTGGTGAGCAATTCGCTAGATCTGCACGTATTCCCGAGTATCAGTGAATACAAGTTTCATGTGCATTTCTTGACCTAAAAACTGTAAATGCTAAAAATCCATGCATATTTTTAAGTATAAAGAGCCTTGGCTGACCATTATAAAAGTTTGAAATGTAGAAAAGGATAACAGGTAAATTGACCTAAACCACATGTCTGTGATAAAATGTAAACGTAGTAAACCAGCATGTTTTGTTGTTTTGTCATCGGATTGGACAATGACTATGTGCAAAATAATAACAAAAGCCAAATAAGGTCTCCTCGGGTACACATATTCCTCTATTGTACTAAAACCCGCCCATTCTCTTGCCTTAAAAGAACATATTCTCACAAACTTGGCCGAATTTAGCTGTGATAGGGTCTAAAAAATCAAAGATAATGCAGTATTCCTTACAATTAAAATGTGTCTGAACTATTGAAACTATTCAAAAGGTGTCATATTTATTCACTCATATTTGAAAACTACCAACATCGTTGTAGATAAAATATAATTCGTCGCGGAAAAAGGGGCTCCAGATAGCAGTTATAAAGTTGAGAAAATAAAGTTGATACTTTTTAATACCCTGTACAGGTCAATTTATGATTTTGAATGGAGAAAGCTTAATGAAAAACAATCTAGAAAGAAAGGATTAGTACTTTGCAACTTTGTTAGTATCCGATAAATGATCTACTGTGCGAACCCACTTAAAAATTTGAAGTAATGCTGTTTTGGTCCATATAATACCCCTTATTGATATTGGACGTATTATTTCTTTTATTCCATGTTCATTGAGGTAACGAAGAGTGTCCTAATCAAGACCAGGACCAACACGGACACCCCCAAAAAGATCAAGGAGGTATCAAATCAAAGCTCGAAAAGCTTGAAAATGAACATAATCAATTTAAAAACATCATCTATACGTCTAATTGTGGAACTGAAGGTTACATGGATAGGCTTTTTTGTAGAAGTTCTTCAACATTTTAAATACATGTATATGAAATTGATGAGTTGCTTCCTAACTATAAAGATTGTGATGTAATACATAATAATACTATAGTTTGTAACCATAAATATTTAATGTTTTTTTCACATTTTTATTGCAAGAAAAAGTCGATAGGATGAGCATTGTCCAGTAACTTCTCAAATACATTTTTAGACATCTTCTAGCCAGATGATGTTCGTGTCATTGTTGGTTGTATGACAAAAGCGTGGAAACCGGTTGTCAAGGGCACTCAGTGTCCGGTGTGCTTCCGGTGTACTGACCACTCTGCCCACCTGAGAACTTGCTAGCTGCATAACTTTCAGCTGAAATCATAAAAAATGTCTCAATCCTATTTTAACAAGACAAATGATATAATGGCGATCATCACATCATTAGGTCTTTTCCTTCAAGTCGTTTTTTCGACTCGAAGAAAAAAGCCGAGTATCGTTGGCATCGGACATTTATCTTGTTTTTCTAGGATCTACCGTTCTTCCTGCCCTGGAGAGAGAGAGAGAGAGAAAGTAGGTTATGTCTCAAATCGTTTCAGGCACCAGCAGACAAATGCAGCATTTCTTGTGCAAACAATAATTCATATAAAAAGAATTTGATGAAAAAAATCAAAATCCTTTCATTTTTTTTTTCAAGAAATAATAATGAAATGTTGTTTTACCTCGACCAGCTTGATCCCGCCGGGTGTGTGGACCAGTTGTACTTCTTCAGCAGTCGTGTTGTACAGCCAGCAGGTATAACTCGCGTGGTGATGCCTACCTCGCATACTTATAAAATGCTGTAACAGAAACTCCATGCAACAGTATGTTCATAGCATTCTGTCTATAGCTGTCTAGCTTTATATGAGATATCTTTCATTTTTGATGCCTCTAGATAATTATATAAAATTTTCAGTATCATGTAAACAAATACTTTTTATTACCGGTATTATAAAGCTTAATTTTGCCTATATTTGGGTATTAAATTTTAAAGAATTTCATGATGGAATACTACACTTTAAATCAATATGACTAACTTTATTATACAAGAAGTTATATTCTGCAGACTCATCTGGTTCTATTTGTATGGGTACAAATGTCTTCTTAGATCGTGGTTGTCCATCAGTGATCAAAGAACAGTGGATGAAAACGCACTGAAAAGTAAGAAAGAAGTAAGAAAGAATACTTAAAAGAGTCTTTATGCTCGAGTAAGTGTTAGTATGAAAATTAGTTTGTAAATTTTTAAAAATGAAAAATAATTTTTACTTTTAAATTTTCCTATTTGCAAAATTCTTCAAAGATTGTATAGACGTCTGTTATTTTCATCAAAAACAAAAAAATAAGCTGTACTTAGGAGCAGATTTTTAATGAATCAGTAGAAAATTTAGAAAAAATATTTTTATGAATTATTATATTTGATAGTTGCAGAATAAACCAATATGATGTGACAGTACAATTTTGGCATTTATGTATTCATTTTCATATTGTATCGATTTATATAAACATTAGTTATGATGGAAAAGGCTCATCATAAAATCAGTGAAAAAACGTGTTTAATTTCAACTTCAGCAAACAGATTTCATATATTTAAAGCACTAAAATCTACATTTGACAGACTTACCAGCAAGATGGGGAGGTAACCAGATTTGGACATTTTTCTTTAATCTAAATATAGGTTGTGTTATCTATCTAGATAAACTTTAATAAGAGGAGGAATCACTGATAAGACTTAAATTATCTTTGGAGCATTGTTTGCGAGACATTGACGTCTAAGGCACAAATGTGGAATGGTCTTACTATGATTAACCATTTTGATGTAAACTTTTTTTAACATAAAAAAGGTTTTATTTCCAGTTGAAATTGGTTTTTTTTTCCATTTTACACGTGTACACTAGATTTAATTACGGATTACTCAATCTACCAGATCAATACATAGAACTTTTGGCAAGTGTGAACCAAATGTCAGGGATGCTTACTCCCCCTAGGCAACTGAACCCTAATTTTTAGTTTCCGAAGTCTGAAATAAAATATTCATAGGTTTTTGTTTTATTTTTTGTTCATTTAAGGTCATTGCCTACAAGTGAAATGTTACATTTAGCCCTTGCAATATATTGATATGTTTTCATTAAATTTATTCCATTGTTTCTTATATTCAGTACTAAAGTGAAGGTGAAATACACTTCCCTCTACATTGTTAGTTTAGTATAATGTCCTCTATAACAATTTGAATTTTTCAATTAAAATGCAGATTTTATTTGAAATAATAAAATATGTCAGAAAGGACAATAAGATAATCCAATTCTTTAACTTTATTATGTGCACATGCCATGGGGTTTTTGATTCAATACACAAGAACGAACAATTTCCCAGACCCCTTCCCCCTTTTTAGTTGTCTTCCAACCAGATGATTGTTGTGGAGTTATTCTTCGTATGACAGAAGTTTGGAAATCGGTTGTCAAGGGCACTCAGTGTCTGGTGTGCTTCCTGTATATCCACCACTCTGCCCACCTGAGTACTGGCTAGCTGCATGACCCTCAGCTGCAATCGTCAATTGTATTCCAAACAAAACTACTGGCTTAATTTAAGACAATAAACTGAGAAGGGACTTGTCAAAATTTCAAATCAGTATATATATTTTTTTAAGTTTTGACAATGAACCATAGCTTTTAAAAAAAAAATTGTGTATTTTACAAATCAGCAAAATGCATGTACATTTATTGATTAGACCTTAAGTTATTCAAAATCAAAATTTTAACTTATGTTTGTTCTTAGTTTGTGGTCTTGTGGAGGTTCTTGACATTTGAACGTACCAGGTATATTGAATTTCCTAAGATCTGTACCATTTTCACACATAGGTCAGTTTTAATACATCAAACTGTTTAAAATATTTTTTTAGGAAAGGATATGATAAAAAAAAATCTGTCTCAAAAATGGGCATATAAAGAAATAAATAGTTATCTGTTGCTTTACCTCGACCAGCTTGATCCCGCCGGGTGTGTGGACCAGTTGTACTTCCTCAGCAGTCGTGTTGTACAGCCAGCAGGTTATGCTTGTATGGTGGGTCCCTCCCGTTTTCATGCTGATAAAATGCTGTAACAATAACCTTCTATGGCTCGCCAAATTCACAAAAATGAGATAATCATAGTTTCACAATCGATAAACTAGGTTTATCGGTTGTAAACTATAGTTTACAAACCGTAAACTATAGTTAACAACGTTAATCTATATTTCACATCTGTAAACCATAGTTAACGCGATAATCTATGTTTCACAACCGTAAACTATACTTTACACCGAAAACAATCATTTGCGATTGCAAAACATAGATTATCTGATAAACATAGATTCACATTTGTAAACTATAGTTTACAAACCGTTAACTATAGTTAACGATCTGATAAATATAGTTTCACAATTTGTGAAACTATGATTAACAACTCTTAACTATAGTTTACGATTGTAAACTATAGATTACAAACGTGAATCTATGTTTATCAACAAAATCTATTGTTAACGCTTTATTACAGACAGATAAACTTAAATTAACATTCGTAAACTATAGTTAACAACCGTTAAATATAGTTTTACAGATGAAAACTATACTTAACGAATCGTTAACTATAGTTTACGGTTTGTAAACTATAGTTTACAGTCGATAAACCTAGTTTATCAATTGTGAAACTATGATTATCTCATTTTTGTGAATTTGGCGTGCCATAACCTTCCACATACATTACTGTTCGCTATCGTATCATATGTACTTAATTAAAGTTTTGTTTGTTCGCTTGTTTATTTTTTGGCTAAATTTGCTTGCTTGTTTAGTTATTTGTTTTTCCTCCATTTCAGATTTATTTTTATCACATTTAAGATACTAGTAATATGCTCCTTGAAATAAATGACAACACGAAAACAGGATTTCTGGGTATTGGATTGTGTTATGGGTGTGTTCACATGGTGAGCAAGAAACTAACTATACCCTCCTATAATGTATTGAATGCCACTCACTTTATTATATAGGAAATGATAGCCCGACGACTCGTCTGGTTCTGTGTGTATAGGTACAAATGTCTTCTTAGATCGTGGCCTTCCATCAATTATTAAAAGACAGTGGATGAAAACGCACTGAGAAGTAAGAAAGAACAAAGAATACTTAACAAGATTTCTGTGCTCATCATTTAGGTGATAGGTATTCATGTATCAAAGGCAGAATGCTGAAGGCATTCAGAATTTATCATTTTATGCGCCCGCATCGATAGATACGGGGCGTATATTGTTTATGTCCCGTCTGTTTATGTTTGCCTGTCTGTCGCCATAACTTTTGAACCCTAACCCTGACCTTGCGACCTTGACTGTGACCTATATTCTAAAATTACGGTAGCTTTTTTATCTTTCTTTTCGCCGGGCGCATAGTGTTTCACAAACACATCTTGTTATTATGATTTTTATCATTATTATCATTGTTAACCCTGACCTCAATAAAATAAACCAGCTGCAGATTTTCATTATTTTATGAATCTTCATGGATTATCAAATAACCCAGTGATCTTTCTGTAAACCTTTGACATTTTTTGCTTCCAAATGAATCCTAGATGATATTTATAATACTAGTAATATAAATAATTTTGCCGAGCGATTTAAAGAGCGAGTTAGGCTAAAAGGTCTGTCACCGCCAGTGAGTTTAAAATGTTGTATTCTGTCATGTGTTGAATTTCACGTTTTTATACATATATACAGATAATAGGGTCAGGGATTCAAATAAACATTACAAGCATGACAAAAATATTTTCTCATGCAGATGAACACTTTCTTAATAGTTGAAATACTATTTTTAACATGTGTACTTTCTGCAGACTTACCAACACAATGGGGAAGTAAACAGACTTCGGCATGTTTAGCACTTTCAATCTCAGGTAATGGTTCTACTTTATATATAAAACCTTAACAGGAGGTACCAGAGAACAAGATAAGACTTAGGAGCTTTCTTCTGTTATTAGATTACGACATTGTCTTGTTATTCTTTTAAGGGGAGACAGGACACATGTCATATGACTAAAAAGACATATTGTCCTCTACAAAAATTTGAATTTTTCAATTAAAATTTGTATATGACAAAGTCATGTGGTATATTTTATTTGATAAAATAAAGTATATCAGGAAAGACAATATCACTACATAATCGGTGATAATATACGTGTTAAACGTTGTTAAAATCAACAGTTCTTGTGTAATCTTATTCTAAATTCTAAAATTGTTTTTTAAACATTTATTTAAACATTTAATTTTTGAAATTATTATAAATAAAATTTTTAAAGATCTTGCCATCATTTAGATATTGTGAAGTTGCCCAATCAACACATTTGTTTCTCTTTACCCTGCAGTCTGACGTCAGTGACGTCATAGACGTAGTGTTTGAATTCTCAGTGGACTCCGTTATGGGCCCGTAAATATGAAGTATCTAAACTCCATACAAACTCTAAACAGGGCGGTATTAGTGGGGCGATATCTTTTAAATAAGTCAAGAAATCCCATGACAGTACCGTTTTAAAATGTTAAGAACACATTAAATTAGAAATATAAAAAATTCGAAAAAAAAATCACTGACAGGAATTTTTTCAGCTAAAGGTCCTGTTCCTCCTTAGATACATTATATTTTAATTTTTTTTTTATTATTCTCATTTTATACATTTTATTTCTTCTTTGAAGAAGATCCTTTCTTTGATAAACTTACATGTATATAGTATCTGAAATTATATAATATTCTTTTTTTTTCTTTGTATTTTTCACATTTTTTGCAGGAAAAATCCTACTTATTTAATGTTATTTTTATTGTTAAAGTGATTTATCTTTCACAAACGACAGTTCTGGCAATGAAATGAAGATGATGCCAAATGCTACTTTAGATCCAACTCTTAGCATGCACTTTTAGGTATTTTGTCGAGTCCTTGTTGAAATACTTTCAATAAAGTCTGAAGGTTGTTAACTAGCTGCAGATCTGTAGCTCTCCGAAAAAAATATTTTGATAGACCGGAGAGCTACAGTGCCACCCACTGAAAAAACTGTATATTTATTGCGCACAAAAAAGTGCACTCGGTTCTTGATAAATTCTTTCAAATTCTTACCTCAACTGCAAATAAGTAAAGATTTTTAAAAAATCCTTTATCTTCTTTCGATTACTCTCCTAGTTGACATCCGAACGAAGCATATTGGACCGAATTATCTTTGAAACCAAAATGGCAGTATAAATAAGCGAAATGTTCGATGATTACAATATCAGGGTCAGGATGACTATTAACAACAATTATGAGGAATGTTTGGTTGTGGAAACAGTGAAAGAATATGTTAGGAACACAAGGTAAGTAATATTTTGAGATTATAGTTTTAAAAACATGGAGTAATAAATCGAGAACCGAGCGCACTTTTTTGTGCGCAATAAATATACAGTTTTTTAAATGGGTGGCACTGTAGCTCTCTGGTCTATCAATGTATTTTCTTTCGGAGAGCTACAGATCTGCAGCTAGTTGTTAATATAAATTTCTTTTTTTTTCATATTCCTATCTCATCTTAAACTTCGTCTGTCTAACCTTTTACATCAAAAATTTGGTCTAACTTAAATATTTCTTTCCATTAAGCTTGTACATGTAAAGAAAACATTTCTCAAACCCAGTGTTCGTATGCTCTTTTTTATGTCTATAGGACATCTTGAACTTTCTTCTATAACTAATTGCAAAGAACGAGCTACATCTAGGCTTAATTTAGACTTTCTGGTATTCAACGAGGTACATAAGCTCAATTCTGAATTTGAATGAAAAAGATTAAGAAAACGAACTTGACAAATGTAACAAAATCTATGAACAATACAAATCCGTGAAGGACCCCTATAAATTATAGAGGTGGGATCAGGAGCTTACAGGAAGAGAAAGCATTCACTGAGATATATAGTATGAATGTGTAAGTAACTATCATACTTCTTTAACGTACTGTAATGTAATGTTTCTATAAATGATTATGCATTTCGAGTTGAAGGCCACAGCTAGTGTTTTCTTCTTCTTTTGTAAAAGTTTTTGAATTTAAAATTCTGCTTCATATGAATATAAATACATGTCAACCAATAAAGAGTACATTGAGTGACCATTGAAATTCCAACAGTTTGTTTGAAGTCCGAAGACTACATCAAAGTAAATTTAATCATCAGTTGTCAGCCTTTCATTATCAACTTCAGATTATTTATAACTGGGTGTAGAATCTGAATGTTTAAAAACAATTGGAAAGTTATTTTGTTAATATCTAATTCACAAAATTTCCTAGTTCTATTTTTATTGAGATAGCAGTTGTCTATGATATTAAGAACCCTAGTTTTTAATTTATCGAGAGGAATGGTTTTAAAAAGTGTAGAAAAGTCGTAAGTTTATATTACTGACTTTTGAAAAAATATTGCTATTTTAAATTTTAAAAGTTTCTTTATGTCCCGCCATGAATATGGCCGGGGCATATAGTGTTTGTCATGTTCGTCTTCCGTCTTTCCGTCTAGCTGTCCTTCCGTCACACTTTGCGTTTAGCTCTGTTCAAAGCTAAATTTCAAAGAAACTATCCAAGAAATTTTCATCAAACTTCATATGCTGATAGATATTGATGAGAGCTATGCAACTGCATCAACATTTTTTGACCTTGACCTTTCCTTTGACCTTGACCTCAATTCTTAAATTTATGAATTAGTGTTTAGCTCAGTTTAAACCATACCATTCAAGATGGTGTTATCAAACTATACATGTTGATACATACTGATAAGAGCTATTCAACTGCATCACCATTTTTGACCTTGACCTTTCCTTTGACCTTGACCTCACTTTTCTTAAATAAGTGTTTAGCTCAGTTTTTAAGAAACAATCCAAGATATTTTTATCAAACTTCATATGCTGATACATACTGATGAGGGCTATTCAACTGCATCAACATATTTGTCCTTGACCTTTCCTTTGACCTTGACCCAACTTTTCTAAATTAGTGTCAAACTTCTTATGTTGATACATACTGATGTAAGCAATTTAACTGCATCAACATTTTTGACCTTGACCTTTCATTTGACCTTGACCTTCAAATTTTGTTTAAGTTAGTTTTAAAGAAATCATTCAAGATTTTTTATCAAACTTAATATGTTGATACACATTGATGATAGATATGCAATGCATCAACATTTTTGACCTTGACCTTTGCTTTGACCTGGACCTAACATTACTAAATTATTGTCAAACTTCATATGCTGATACATATTGATGTAAGCATTTCAACTGTATCAACATTTTTGACCTTCACCTTTCATTCCACCCTGATCTCACTTTATCAAATTGGTGTTATTCAGTTTTAAAGAAACAATTTATAATAATTTTTCAACTTCATACGCTGATACATACTGATGAGAGCTTTTCAACTGCATCAACATTTTTTGACCTTGACCTCACTTTAAAGAAATTAGTGTCAAACTTCATATGATGATACATACTGATGTAAGCAATTCAAATGCATCACTATTCAAGATATTCTGATCAATTTCATATATACAAATTTTCATGTTGCATTACTAATATACCTTTGGTGGGGCATTCATGTCCTATGGACATATTTCTAGCTTTTTGAGTTTTGGGAATCTAAATCTGATTCACACCATTTCTAGAATACATTTTGGCCATGTTTGTTCAATTAAAGTAGACAATATTTTTTAAGGAGTATAGGTCCCCTAAGGATATATTATTTACATTGTATTAAGCCTTTCAATAAATTGGGCTTACAAATGTGTATACTATTTGCCTACTAGTCGTAGTAGTAGATAAATATACACATATGCCCTAGTAGCTCTTCCTATCCGTCTGTCTGTTTCATACGTACTATTTGGTAAAACATCCCCATACATAGACCGAAACGTTTCCCTATTATGTTGTACGATTTTGATATTTTACATACACCAAAATATCTAGAACGTTTTCCAGGCATGTTTTAAGATTTTGATACATAACGTAAAATATCAAAATCATAAAATGGAAAACGTAAGATATTTCAGACCATATCTGTCGGAAGCAATTTGAAAAGGGGAGATAAATTGAAAGGGGGGCTAGGGTGGGTTAGGTGGGGCTTAACCCCCCCCCCCCCAACTTTTTTGCAAATATATACATAATATAGGCATTGAAGATTGGAGTTTACATTTTTTGTTGGTTTAGCCCCCCCCCCCTTTGAATTAGCACCCCCACTTTCAAAATGTTGTTTTCAATGAAATATATAGAGAAAAAAAAAATAAAATGCTCTTAAGGGCACACAACCGTATACATCTCATAATCTGAGACTCCTACGGAGCTGACTGATGACCTTCAACTTTTAGCCGACGGAGAGTTGTCGTTCATGTACACATCGACAGCTCAATGTTAAATTTTGAGAAGTTGATTAATTTTATTAACATTACACTCGAATATATATGTATTTTGTACGTAAAAGATCATCACTAACAAGTTAACATATAGGTTACACTCTTTCAAAGAATACAATAATTATTTATTCCTCTTAATCATAAATTCCCAGGTAGTCTAGTGGTTAGGATTCCGCGCTCTCACCGCGGCGGCCGGGGTTCGATTCCCCGTCTGGGAAGATGTTTTTTTATTTTTAAATCTTTGTAACAATTCCTCCAATAGAAAAAGAATTGTTCAATTTGAGTCTCTAAACCAAATAAATTCTTTGGTACACACATGTAGTCGAATATCTGACTAAAATATCAAAAATACAAATAAAACAAGTATCTGCCAATATTGTAGGCTCGATTGATTTGTATTGGTAGCAGATTAAATTCAACATATGCACTTGAAATAAACTAAATTAGGTTATTATTAAGCCTCTTTATAAATCCTATTTCATTATCGAAGTGCACAAAACAGTTCATATAAAAATATTCACAAGATTTGAAGCAATATCGGCTATCATGATCAATGATCAATTCATGGAACATCATGAGAATTTACAATTAATACAACAGAGTTGGCCATATTATACGTCACAAAATCAATATACTGAATCAGTGTCATGAACAATGACAATGACGGTTGGAGCCAGGATTTAACAGAGCAGGAATAATTTGCAATGTCTAATCATAAGCCCAACGCTGACACGTACTAGTAATTCATTAAACGTACTATACACATTCTGACAGGAAATGATGTCTTACACCATGACTGGATTAATTATATCACACTTTACTCTGGATATTTTAAAGCTTTCAGCTGCAAAAGTTTATTATTGAAAATGGTGTGGATGTGCAGCCTTCATCGGGCACCGTAAAGTGGAGAATTTCCTTGCTTCACTTCAGTTTCACAACAAATTAAAATACAAACACACCATCAGCATTACTATACTCCTCTCTTCTTCCGTTGCAAGGGTATAATTATTATTCAACACAGACTAAATGATGAAACCACAATTATGAACTCTTTAGGTTGTTAATTTAATAATATATTAGTTTGAGACTCACCAAAAATTATCTTTATGAATATTGCACTCAATCTGCTTTAATTACCAATATTGATATTTTAGTTTCTTTATTACCCTGAAATTACAATTGCTGTGACTACTGCCAAAGAAGACAAAATGTGAAAAGTTTAATATGATGACAAATTGACAATTTTAAAGAAAACAATGATGTCATCGCAGAAACACAACAACAATAGTCTGACAGTTACAAAAAAGCTCTCACTTCAGCATTTGGTTCATAAAACCCTATCATCATTCCATATTCCTAGGAACTACATGAATAAGAAACAAAATTAAAATCAAATGGCTCACTGAAATAGCTTTTATTTTTTCTCTCACTGTATTGAATCATTTATTAAAAAATTACAAATTGAAACTGTAAAATGTTTGACCAACTGATGATCAAATACTTGCATAAACATAGTTGGAAAGTTTGAGAAATTTGTTCACTAAAAAGGTTTAAAAGGGGTTTTACATATACAAACATGTTTTTATCTCAGAAAATGACTAGCCTCTTATATATATATATATATATATATATATATATATATATATATATATATATATATATATATATATATATATATATATATATATAAAGCACTAAAAATGACCAACGACACGAACAATAAAAATTGTCAAATTTTCGGGACGCCCTGTCCCTTCCTCAGGACAAAGAAAAAAGTTAAAAAGTCATAAGAACAAAGGAAAAAGAGAAACAAAAACAACTAGCACTACTACTAAACTACTAAACACTAGATATTTACATACTTAATTACATGTTGAATTGGAAAAGTTCTGGATGCACAGATTGAAGTCATTCCGCCCAAATGGTATTAACAAATTGAATGACTTCACCAGAATGAACGTAAATTAGACCCAATTCCTGATCATACTAAACAAAATTATTCTCTCAATTTAGTGTAAACTCTACAGTTAATTTGTGCCACCAACTCTCGAACTCGAACAACCACATAACTATGTATTGCTAACGCCTTTGTTAATTATTTTTTCCCGATAGTAAGTCCTTAAATATTTCAAAATTTATAATTGATCACAATTCATATGTTTAAATATCCCTACTATATGATTTTTCTTTCATTATTCTTTATTAAGTAAAGTTACGCCATTTTGAGAGAATGAAACAATGTACGATTTACTGATTGTCGTAATTAATTAGCATAATTAATTCGTTCAATTATGTAAATCGCACTTCACCCGAGTATACCCGATAGACCGGACGCATTTCATAGCGGTCCAGATTTCTTTCTTTATTAGTGTTCTTAAAAATTTCCAATTCAACATGTAATTAAGTATGTAAATATCTAGTGTTTAGTAGTTTAGTAGTAGTGCTAGTTGTTTTTGTTTCTCTTTTTCCTTTGTTCTTATGACTTTTTAACTTTTTTCTTTGTCCTGAGGAAGGGACAGGGCGTCCCGAAAATTTGACAATTTTTATTGTTCGTGTCGTTGGTCATTTTTAGTGCTTTATATAAATTTCCATCCGTGACCTTGTATCTACCTGGTAGATCCGACATCTAGGATATACAGTGTTGTTGGTTTTTTAGTGCTTTTTATATATATATATATATATATATATATATATATATATATATATATAGAAAGCACAAAGAAATTCACTTATATATATATATATATATATATATATATATATATATATATATATATATATATTAGAATATTAATGGAACATGAGTTTTCTTCACTAATTGTTAATGGCTTAAAAAAATCATCATATTTGCACATATTTAGGTGTTTTATTGGGTAACTTGTTGACCATCCAAACTCCTTAAATTGTGTATCACAAATGAATAGGTATAAATACTCCTTATATTAACTGATCTGCTGTCACTTTGTTTTTAATGTATAACCAAAAGATTGAACTGACATGATAGGTAGGATCTCTAGAAAAATCATTTACAATACATGTATTTAACAAGATCTATAGATCAATACTTCATCATATTTATTATACAAATTGTTATAAGTACATTGTATACATTACAGGCAGTTGGATGAGTCTAACCAATGACTGAGTAAATGGTTTACAATCTAAGTTTATTTCCTTTATAAATTCAAAATTTTTACATTACTACAAACATCTAAAGTTCTTCCTTACACCCGACTAGCCTCACAAAAATATTTCTGAATGATGTAATTTAAGAATTTTCAAATCTAGTGATGTATGTATAGGGTTTACTGATGTTAAAATTGTGCAAGAAGTTTCCAAAGTACTAGCTTGTAATATTAATATTCACTGGAATTATTATTCTTTTGGAATGTCTTCTCATGAAAGCATTATTATTATACATTTTATTATTTATTGAAGGTTGAAAATTTGTTGGTAAGGGTACCCACAAGAACAGAACTAATGATTTTATGCTTAAGTTAAGCAAGTAGAAATTGCAGAAATCTGCAACCAGCATTTCAGGTATCCACATGATTCATCAATAGAACAAAAAGAGTTCTCATATCTACACTAGAAAGTTTCATTTATTTAACCACACATGGTACCGTTAGACTTGCAACACCATCAGAAGCATCAGCTAAATAATAATAATAAAAAAAAAACAATAATGCTGCAAATTATAGAAGATTCTGCATGATTTATAATACAAGTACCTAAAAAACCAATAGATCTACATATCTGGTCCATGTTTATAAAAAAAGTTTATCTTTCTGTCACATGACCAGTGATTTTGAGCTAAATTACATGAAGTAATCATATTAGTAACATAATCATGTAATTCAAAATAAGACACATTTAACAGCACATATAGTTTACTAGGTAACATACATAATATTGCATATCCTGTTTATGATTTTTAACAAGCATTTTAGTCAACAAGTACAAAATATTAATTAACAATCAAGTTGTCTAAAAATGAATTCTTGAAAAATAAAACATGAGCACAAGCATGTACAAATCAGATCATATATCATCTTTTGAGAATGAGAGGGCATGATAACCATGGTGATGAACTGAACACAGTCTTGGTGCCTATAACTCTGGAAAGGCGAAATTGTAATTATCGGGCTCTGGGGGTATGGGGGGAGGTTCGTTTGGAATGGCTATCCCCTCAGCATCCAGCAGTCTAATACGTATCTCCATGTCTAACAACATGCTCAGGTCCTTCTTCATCTGAGGACTAGTCATCTGTCAAACATTGAAAAGAAAGCTGTTACCTGTTTACAATTGTCAGGGTATTAGGCATTATCATTAACTCAGAAACATATTACAGTATTAAAAGAATCAATGGCAACCTGCCCAGTGAACCTATATTAATCTATCAGTAGATAAATTTCAATTAAATGATTTTCATGACTTATTAAAGAAGGCCCCTGATCCCACCTACGGAATTTCCCGTGGTCTGTGTTTTATGCCCTCTTCACATATATATTTACATTTATTTGTATTGTTTATAGATTTTTTGAAATTGATCACTGTTTGATATCTTTACCTTTTACATTTACTTTCTCAGCAGATAAATGAAAATATTCTTCATAAAATAAAAGTCTGACAACTAATTCCAAATAGGTCTACCATTTTCAAAGTTAACTCTAAAAAAGATATTTATAGATATGAAATACATAGATAAATATATATTACAGGAATCTTGATATTATCATAAACCTTGTTCCTTTTTTCATCCCCTTCCCCCCTCTCTCACACCCACACTCACTGTATGGGTGCACATGAGAATGAGTACATCTCATCTTATAGCATAATTTAAACAGGAATATAACTGATACCAAGGTATTTATTTTAGACTGTGTTGTTTACCTCATGTCCTAGTAAGACATTGAGTCCATCAGTCCACATGTCAAATTCGACCTCGTCTTTGGCCACAAAGCAGATCATGTCAGTGGTCTCCGAATTGACCGTCTGGATAGCGAAACTTGTGGTGGTCATCTGTCAAGAAAGCAGATCAATGGTCAGACACAAGAATGGAAAAATAAAATGATGGCTGATTTAATTTTTGCTGAAAAGAAAATAACTGTCCACATGCAAAAGAAAAAAATAACACAAACAAAAAAGAAAGGGAAGGAAGAACACAAACTCAACACTATCAGTAAATTTAGACAGATTAACAATTCATTTTTTTCAACTAAATTTCACACTAGTATTAGCAGTTACATCTGTGTTTGCCTGAACATCAAAATCATTGAAATGTAAATCCTCTAATTAAAGAACTCTACAAAACTTCTTATTTTAGTTTACCAACACCTCTGATGAAAATGTAAATCTGATCCTTTGTATGATAACTTTAATCCATAAAAAGTATCCAAACACCTAACAATTTTAATTTGATAGAAATCAAAAGTCTCTGATGAGACTGGAGTTCTATAGACTTATTCTTATCATGATAGTGGAAGGCAAAAGTTGCACCAAACTTGCATACACTTTCAACTTAATTTAATTTATTATACATTTTAAGAATCATGCTAATACTATACATACATGTATCTAGTTCTGAAATTAAACCATACAAGGCTCTTGGGCCACAATGCTCACCTTAGTGATAACTTAACTTAAAGTTTAAGTTATCAATTGATCAATATATAAATTTGTCTATAGTGTTACAAAGTTCAATCAATTAGTTATATATACATGTATATATATTTTAATCTATTGAATAACATACACTAATTGAGAAATATTTCTGAAAATAAACTATATAGTTCAGGTATGTCTGGAAAATGATTTTTCAAGATAAAATTAGAATGACACGTAATGGGAGTGACCTCCCCTAATTTTTGTTCAAGATTTTTTATGTGTCAATTAACTTTAATTATTAAGAAGTAAATCATTAGTGTATCATATTGAATTAATGCACCACTTACATGATTAAGTCATTAATAATGACTTCATAGAAAAAGTCTGTCAGTGTTAAGTATATTAAAAGTAAAAAGTATAAGGGTTAATAAGTAAAAAGATTTATTAGACAAAGTGTTATAAAGATGACCAAAAAAAAAAACAACAACAAACAAACAAACAAAAACAAATAAACAAACAAATAGGAGAGTAAAAGGGTATATATCATCCAAATTGATTAAATAAAAAAATAACAATATTGAAAAGTAAATTTTAATAATAACAAGAGGCCCGTGAGCCACATGGCTCACCTGAGTAACTTTGGCCATGCTGTTCTTAACAGATCCCCTCTTTTAATACGGAATTGTGACCCTACCCTACCCCCAAGGGCCATGATTTGGACAATTTAGAATCTACATTACACCAGGATGCTTCCACACAAATTTCAGCTTTTCTGGCCCAGTGGTAGATTTTTCAAGATTTTTCCAATATATTTCAATGAAAAACATGAATTCTCTATTGTGGCCATATGCATGCCATACCCCAGTCATGATTTTGACAGTTTAAAATCTACATTACCCCAGGATGCTTCCATAAAAATTTCAGCTTTTCTGGCCCAATGGTTCTTCAGAAGAAGATTTTTAAAGATTTTCCTATACATTTCAATGTAAAACTTGGATTACCTATTGTGGTCCCGCCCTACACCTGAGGGTCATAATTTTTATAATTTAGAATCTACACTACTCCAGAATGCTTCCAAATGAGTTTCAGCTTTTCTGGCTAAATAGTTCTTAGGAAGATTTTTTTAATGACTCCACCCTACTTTTAGCTTTTCTTGATTATATCCCCATGGGACTTGGCCCTTTATTTTTACAATTTAAATCCCCTTCATCCAAGGATGCTTTGTACCACATTTGGTTAAAATTGGCCCAGTGGTTCTTGAGGTGAAGTTGAAAATTTGAAAAGTTTACAGACAGATGGACAGCTCCTTGAGGTGAAGTTGAAAATTTGAAAAGTTTACAGACAGACGGACAGCTAGACTGCTATTCAGACTGGCGACGGACAACTGGTGATCAGAAAAGCTCACTTGAGCTTTCAGCTCAGTTGAGCTAATAATTGTAATTTCTAGTACTTAAAAAAAACAACACTCGGGCCTTCAAGTTGGCTTCAACCAATGATCGACTGAAAATTGTGACGTCCCTACATAATGCTAAAATTAAAAGTAGGGAACATAATATGATGGATTTAGAAAAAGAATCATGCATAAAATTCTAAATGAGAATGATGTAAATCATTCTGTTCAGTCTAAGAACTCTGATTGCCTACTTTATCTGTGATTAAATTGTGTGTCAAATGCTGCAAAGGAAGACATATAGAAATTCACTAATACATGTAGCTTCAAAAATTTCTGTTGAAATTGGTGCTAAATATATAGTAATTTATGGCAATCACATAAATGTACAGTTAGCATTGTATGATTATTTTAAGGAAGATTAAAATTCTTATTAAAAATTCTTTTTCTATCACTGATACAGATTCACTTTTTTTCAGCTTTATTTAAAAAAAAAAAAGCATTGAGGCCTTGCATTCGATCTGCAGCCCTGCTATTGTACAGTGCATGCTTGATGTGGTCATACAGTGATTCATCTTGGTAAAAAACATTTCAGGAAATGTCAAACAATGTAAATTATTGTTAAATGCACAAATATTCTTAATGCAAAAAAAAAAAAAAAAAAATAAATAAAAAATAAAAATAAAATATACTTATTTTAAGCAATGGAGCAAATGCAGAAAATGTGTATTTTTATTTTGTCAAAGTTTCGTCATTTCTTTGCACATGAAATACATAGTGTACCAGGAAATATTCAACATTTCTCTTAAAATTAAAAAAAATATATATGTATGATATTGCTGAGGAATATATCAAAAAATTCCATTTTGATGTACTGTAAAAACTTTTGTTATAACTTTGTTAATGAATGTTATTCTACCCGGTATGTAATATTTGTATATACCCACTGTTAATATTTGTATATACCCACTGTCAATGAATTTCTTATTCCATGTAATATCTGTACATTTGTATACTTGATGCACTCAGAACAGTGTATACATATAATGCAGATGTCACAGATTTCTGACCATTATATTAATATGTAAAACATTTTCGAAATTTTTAATGTTTTAAATTTTGTAAGATTTGGAGTACATGTGTTTGCTGGTATAATCCTGCAATGAACATAACACCTAATTAGTGAATTCCAACAAGTCTTTATGAAATCAACCACCCATGCCATGTACATCTATCTATAATTCATTACTACATGTACATGATTAGAGGGGTTCCTTTAGAAGTATCTCTTGTTTGCCAAGTTAATTCGTATTTAAAGTATGAATATTATACTGTGTTTTACTTGACAAATTCGGTTTTACTTTGCATATCATAAAAAAATATATTTTTAAATCATCACAATGGTAATCTGATACCAATAAATCTGATACAATATTTATCAAATAATTGCTGTCCATTTGAAAAAAAATGGCCAAATTTTATGACAATCTGTTACGTTGATGATGCAAGCCAATTCATTATCTCTAAAACAGCCTAGATGTAAGCTAAAGTTTAGAAAATAACATTGGCATGAATGAGTTGTTATCTATAAAATGGCCATTACTGGAAGCAAGCAAGATTTATATTACTAGTGTATGTCAGACTAGCTTTAGTGGTCAGTAAGATATTCCCTGTTAAGGTTACCGAGGCATGGTCAGTTGTTTTCCAACCCGAAAACAAATGAGGGTGATGTTCTGTCTACATACAAAGAAATCAAAGGAAAATCAAGCTCAGAAAATCTCGAAATCAGTCTAATTCTCACCTCTAAAGACTATCAATATTGTAAAAAAAAAAATTAAAAAGTATTCCAAACATAACAGAATTTAGGAAGTTTTTTAGTTTTGTCAAGAAAATCAAAATGCACAATCACACTGAAGCTAAGCAATAAGCTGAAATGTAAAATCATTTCCCATTGCATTTCAAAACGAACTTTCAATCCAATCTGACTTAGCTGTACAATTCCCCAGTACATTCCAAAGTACTTTTAAAGACAAACTTCATTCAGTCAAACTCAATGTAGCACAAATTAAAGTTAAAGATGAAGATTAAACTTTATTTACCTTAAACTTATTCTTTGGTAAAGTCCCTGTTGCTGCCTTATAATTAATCACGACTGTTTTAATATTTCATGTCAATAGTTAATTGAACCTACCTGTACATATTCTTGGTTGTCCTACTAGCAAAATTTCAGGTGGCATCGATAAAATGTAATTGGAATATATCTTATAGGGATGACAAGTGTTCTCATAAACCAGTCTACACGTATGAACAAATATCTATATTTTAATATAATCTAGCAAGAGATATCAATTTCATAATTTAGTGAATCTGTGGAATGGTGAAAGCAAAAATGAGAGAACTTAACAATGTAGTCCTGTTGTTTTGGTTAATATCTGTGATGATGAAGAATCCAATTTTGATGTCAGGAATTTATCATAAGAAAATAATACCAAAAATGTACACTGCATGTGTATACAATGATAATTGATTGTACAATTTTAATCATATACATCATAAATTAGAAAATGTCCAAACTGTTACAGTTGTTAGAATTTAGTTATCTTTGCTAACCACAGAAAAATTTAAAAATAAAGAGGATTAGTATAAAATGAGAAAATAAAAAGGAAATACTTTATAATTGTATACACGCATCATGATGCATGTTTAGGAGATCAGTAATTACTTAAGAGATACATGAGCAATATTGCTTTGATATATTTCAAATTTAATTATGAAAAAAAATTAGGTGTCACATTTTAAAGAATTATTATAATCTAAAGAATACATAAAGAGCCAGAAACATTAAATTAGTATTTTTGCTCTTACTGATTTTTTTCTGCCTATTAAATATATATAAGTTTTATAACAAAATACTCTTGGTCCATAATTTGCCTGCTTTTGAGCCCTATATTTCTGCCTCCTCAATCTAGGTATATCCTATCAATTTCACAGACTTTTACCAGCATAGTATGCCACAGGAACATGTGCTTGTGGACAGGACACCCCCCCCCCCCCAATACAATATCAATCCCGGGGCTTATTGGATATTACTTCACAAATAATAATTATATTTATTACAAACACTTTAGATTTAGATTTCTAGCTTCACTTGTATTTTTTTTGTATTTCTTCATTCTGTCAACTTGGAGAAAGGAATAGTCGTATCTTTGAGCATTCTTCCCATGGCTGTTCTGAAGAATGTTCAATCAAATCTAGTTCTTTGGCTATGATTCCAAAAAAATTAATTGTTGTCAAAGATTTAGACAGAAAGGATACAAAATTTGATCAAAATGCTTATAAGATAACATAGAGAAATAGATTTGAAAGGTTTTGTTTCAGTCTGTTATACAATAAAGTTCTACTATTGTGTCCCGATAGGGCCATTTGCAAAAGTATAACAGCAAGTAATGAAAAACAGGCTAGTGCTAAGTAACAGTGCTTTGTCACTTCAAGCTAGCATGTTATTACTTAAAAAGTGTAACAATGTGGAGGGCGATATTAATATTGTGCTGGGGCATTCATCAAGTGCTGTTGCTCTAATGAAAATGCCTTATTGGGACACCATAACAAGGTCAAAATATATAGATATTGTTTAAAAATTAATTGATTATTTTTAAAAGATAATTTAATACCTATTCAGACTTGCTGTCATAAGCTAAGTTATGTGCATATAATTTTTTTTTTTGGAATACAGTTCATTCCACAGGCTAATGTTATCTGAGTATATACATTTTTTTCTTCATGCAAGCTAAACAGCTACCCTTTGTAAGCAGATCAGAAAAGGTGACCATCAGAGCTTTCTAAGAATCTATGTTACATGTGTTTTCAGCAAATAAGCTTACAAAAGCTAGAAAATGAAATTTACTTAGAACAAAGTGATATTATCCTGGTACAATAAAGTATATTTTTAAATATTTTTATCAATAAAACATTAATTGTGACTTTATAACTGTTACTCAGAAATCTTGAAAAACTTGTTAGATGATCTAAATATGTCTAGACAAGTTTATCTTAGTGTATAGATGGTGTCCTTTGACACTGAACAGAACTCAAGATCTTGTTTATGAACATGCTGATCGAATTATCTGCTCTTGATAATTTTATTTAAATCATTGAGATTGGTTTCAATATTATCTAAGACAATATATCTAGGAGCTGAAATAAGATCCCCATTTGAGGCTATATGTATTAAAAAAAACAAAAAAAACAACAACAATGTAACAAAAACTGAAATTAAAAGGAAAATGTGTATGACATGTGTTTAAAGACAAGAAGGATATATTCTAGATCCCTCATGCTCAGTATGAACTACTCGTCCCTATGTATACTTACAGTTTTAGCTTTATCTTTTTTATCTTTGATGTGAGGGCATTCTCTTCCTGTTACAAAGGATTTAATGTCACTCACAGGCACTGAAAAATATACATATACACCCTAAAAGATGCTGAAAAGATTTATTATTATGCAGTTATTCTATGCCTGATCAGTCAATAGCTCAGAATGATCAGACAATAAATAATTTTTTTCATCTAATTATTATTTTTTGTTTTTGAACTGATGAGATTTGGTCTCTGCAAGTCCAATAGTGTCAACTACTGACTGATGAAGAAGATATAAATATGTTCTAAGAAGATTTTAGAGGTAAAGATATCCTGGGTTCAAAAAAAAAAAATTAATTGCATGTTTATGATCTGTAAAACAGATCTAGAGAAGAAAAACTCAAAACAAAGAAACTTCAGAAATATGTATTCATTCATGTTCAAATTATATACAAATTTGAGTTGTGATTGTTAAATGTCAGTGGTATCTTGGGAGTTCATTTGATAATCATTTCTTATCAGCATGATCAGAGATGGAAAACTATACTGTGATCTTTACAATAAATGTACTCACATTTGTTGCTTAGTTGTTCTAAAGCTAGGTTATCATTCTCAGCACAATCTCCATAACAAAAGGCTTTCAAATTCGGGGAGAGTTTCCACTGCCAATACTTATCTATTATAAAACAGTATTTCAAATAAGAAAACTTAATCTCAGAGACAATATTCAAAACAATTTTTTGAGAGAAAACTCTGATTTTGATATTAAACTCTGATTACCCCTTGCCCGTCCTTTTGTGGTGTATTTCGAGAATTTGGTTCCCTCTATCAGGTAGTTCAGCCTCTGCTGGCGAATCAGTTCTTTCATTTCAGGTGTGATCATTTTCCTCAGCTCTCTATATAAAGAAAGGATTTCAAAAGAATTTGAATGACATTGCTTGACACAACTATTGAAATCTTTAACTTTAAAGTTCTTCTATATATAAATTTGTGTTTGATATGCCCAATAACCTTGGGTAGATGAAAGAATTCTTCAGATCAAAAGCAATCTTTGTAAGCATCATTTTATTCTTAGTACGAATGTCCAATACTTTTCCAACACAAAGACAAATTTGAAAATTTTCTTGCCAATGACCTTGAACTTACATGATCTTCAACAAGGACTAAAGGACATGATACAATGCAAGGTACAATTTATGATATATTTACCAAAAGATGTTCATGTTTCCATCTTTCTTCTACACAGCTGAACTTCAACAATCAATAAATACACTCTACACAACCTTTACCAGGTATCTAGTAGAAGTTAAATGAGAAATCCCACTCACACAATATCTGAGCAGCCTGTGCCAGATCAAGATACAAAATCCCACTTATACAATAGGAGCAGCCTGTGCCAGATCAAGATATGAAATCCCACTCACACAACACAGCCTGTGCCTGATATCACGATAAATCCCACTCACACAATAGGAACAGCCTGTGCCTGATCAAGATAAGAAATCCCACTTACACAATAGGAGCAGCCTGTGCCTGATCCTCTTCCTTGCTCTTCCTGTCACGTTCCCACAGTCGGATTATTTCTGCATAGGTCAGCTGATTCAGCCTCACTCTGAAGGCATCAAAGGTGGGCGGCTGAATCTGGAGAGCCCTGGTGATTTGTTCTCTTGCAACACCTAACACCTGTTACAATAGCAGAGCAGAAATAGGAAAATAAATACACTGCAATAGTTTTCATCACGTAAAACTAATACACGTAGTTACAGTTCCATTTTTTTGTTTTTCGCTTCCCTTTTTCCAAAATTTTTTAACTGCTCATCTTCAATTTAAATTAATAGCATGTGGCAATTAATTCATTAATTCCTTGTTTAAAACCTATTTTGACACTGTGACATCTGATTATTTGATCAGGGTAGACCAGACCTTAGGGAAATCTTCAGTGGAAGCCCTCATCTCTCTCCAGGTTTTATTGAGTAACTGGATACAAATACAGAAAAACTCCTCAAACGGCTTGTCATGGCTGAAGAACATTGGGTAGTAAGTAGACTCCTCATCCTGGGCTACAATCAAAACACACGGTGTAAATTACCCACACTGCTATACGTGTATATGACACACGGGTACTAGGATCTCAATTACTTTGATCTTTTTTACCACAAAGATTGTCTCTAGAAAATGCTTTTTCTGATTTATTAATACTCTTGTATAATTACCATACATAAAGGGACCTAAATTGATATAAATTAATTGACTACTTGAAAAGTTAGAATTACGTCATTAACTTTAGTAACCAACTGTACTTACGAGGTTCTCCTATTCTGAGAATTTCACAGAGGGTCTTGGTCAACATGATGCTTGCCTTTATGAAAGGGCAGTCATGTTCATCTGCCCTGGTACAGTTTTCTAGCACAACCTTCAAACGAAAAATAGCATATTATCTAAAATATCATTATACTACAAAAAATAACTTTAAAACAAGAAATGTGCATGTCAAAAAAATATCAGAGGGTGGGACTGTCTCCACTGATTTAGAATTACCTTGACACAGTTTTCCTGGTATTTGTTGGAGAAATAGCAAATGTTGTCCAGCGCTAGAATACCCGGAGGTGTGTTCAGTGCAAAATCAGTGGCAGGGTTTGTCTGATCCTGCAATAAAATGACAGCAGTGTTAACATGATATCACAACATTTGCCACTGTGAGTCTATTTTTCTTAGGTAATGCTGAATGAAAAAGAGTCTAGTTAAAACTCTATAACTTCCATAAGTCAATCATTTCATGACAATCCAGAGCAGTCTTTATTAAATAATCTTCACTAAACACTGTTTATAACAGATGCCCCATTGCCTTATAATAAATATGCCCTTGCTTTATAACAGGTGCCCCCTTGCTTTATATCAGGTGCCCCCTTGCTTTATAACAGATGTGCCCCCTTGCTTTATAACAGGTGCCCCCTTCCTTTATAACAGGTCCCCTCTTCCTTTATAACAGGTGCCCCCTTCCTTTATAACAGGTCCCCTCTTCCTTTATAACAGGTGCCCCATTGCTTTATAATAGGTGCCCCCTTGCTTTATAACAGGTGCCCCCTTGCTTTATAACAGGTGCCCCCTTGCTTTATAACAGGTGCCTCCTTGCTTTATAACAGGTGCCTCCTTGCTTTATAACAGGTGCCCTTTGCTTTATAACAGGTGCCTCCTTGCTTTATAACAGGTGCCCCCTTGCTTTATAACAGGTGCCCTTTGCTTTATAACAGGTGCCCTTTGCTTTATAACAGGTGCCCTTTGCTTTATAACAGGTGCCTCCTTGCTTTATAACAGGTGCCTCCTTGCTTTATAACAGGTGCCCTTTGCTTTATAACAGGTGCCTCCTTGCTTTATAACAGGTGCCCCCTTGCTTTATAACAGGTGCCCCCTTGCTTTATAACAGGTGCCCCCTTGCTTTATAACAGGTGCCCCCTTGCTTTATAACAGGTGCCCCCTTGCTTTATAACAGGTGCCCCCTTGCTTTATAACAGGTGCCCTTTGCTTTATACTACCTGGAAGCCGAGTTTTCTGTACAGTGTGGATCTACGATTTCCTGCTTGGTTTGTCTCACTGTCCACATCAAAACAAATCTTGGTCAGTGAGTCAATCTGTTTCTGAACATTCTATAAGGGGAAAAAAAGAAGACATCACAAAAACATAATTAAGAAATCTTATGAGGAAGGAAAGTTACATTATATACCAAGGAAAGCCCTATTAATTCTTCTAATGCTGGAATACTTTCATTGCATTTTAAAATATATTTTTTTTCATATTTTGATTGATATACAACACAGAGGAAACATGACTGCCATTTACAAGACATCAGATAAGTTAGTAGACTCCCCATAAATGGACAGGGAAATTAAGATAAATGACAAAGTTAAAATATTGCAGTGTGTGAATATGCTTATACATTGTGGTATGCATGTCTATACATACGTAAAACACAGTGTAGAACTAAACAATATGTTACATTTTTCTGATTTAATTGCACATATACTAATTAAGTTGATAATATCAGGTACCCCCATTTACCCTGTCCTCCGTTCCCACCCCAACCCCTAATCTCTTACTTTACTTCCAAAAGATGATAAAGGACCTCAAAATTATGACTGAATAATCAAGTGGAATATTGAATAAACTTAAAGATGGTTTCTCCATGAAGTAAATTCATCTCATCTATGAACTGTATGCTGACAAGTCTCACAGTAAACATTTATGAAATAGGTGTATGTGGTTTCTCCATTCTTTGATCAAGCCCATAAGTAGTTATGGACAGTTAACACAGGAGGACCTTACTATGCTTTATAAATACTAACCGGGTCATCAGGGTCAGCTGGGGTGTTCATTCTGGCCTCGTGCATGTTCAGCATCAAGGTCTGTAGACAGTACAACTGGTGACCCATCTCAGACCCAATACTGCGGGACCCATTCAGGACAGACTGAAAAAAAGATATGATCCTCAATAAGTACGATTCAGGACAGATTGAAAAGAGAAAATGATCAAGAACATATCTGAAAAAGTGTTACACAATCACAGTGTGCAAGCAATGCAACTCAGGTGAACTAACTACATTAAGGAAATTCATTTTTGGCAATTATATACTTTTTCCCAAAATATCTAAGCTATAAGTAAAAAAAAATTCTTATTAATATGAATCAACTTATTAACTTTAAGGTATATTTTTCAGAAATCTATGTATGTTTATCAAATAGTCTTCAGTTCATTTACAATATGGCATCAAACCTAATTGTTCTATTCTATTTCACAAAACACAATTTTACTCTAAGACATGAAATACATGCTAATTACTAGTAACAAATGATAAAAAAAGGTGAATTATACCCATAATTGCAGGCGGTCAAATCGTAATGAATCCATGATTAAAATGAAAAGTCTGAATCTTGCAGCCCCACAATCACTACACAATTACATGTTATTTACAATGGTTACACGTAAAGTGACATTTGAAGTCAATTATCGCATCACTAGCAACACTATTAAAATTCCCACCAGGCAATTGACATTTCCTCTAGGTAAATGTCTGCAAATGAGAGACAGACAATGGGTGATTTTTATTCTTCACACTAAGCGTGGAGTGGACAACCTATTCCTGCCTATAACCCTCTGACAGACATCACACTGGACAGAGCTCTGTAGATCTTATTGGCTATTTTCTAGCTGCTGCAGTTATTTCTTCCTGGTGGACTTGTATGTAAACAATTTAAGACAAATGGTGGTCTATCCCTACAGTTCCCCAGTCATTTAGCTAGCAGGGTGTTTATATTTTATGTTAAAACACTTCCTGTATGAACAACTGATCTAAACATTGTAAAAACTGATCTAAACGTTGTAAAAAAAACTATAAGCTTTTTCAAGGAATTGTCGTTTTTTAATCCTATAAGATATAGAACTTATTCTTCCCTTGTCACATGACTTTGCTTTCCTGTAGATTTTGTTGAATGAGACTCATTTTATGCCTTCATATATAATGTGATGTTTCGCCCTTCTTTGATCCTCAGCACCTCAGACTTTTATCATTCTATTATCAGATTTTTTTCACAGACAATCAGCAAAATATGTGAATCAAGCAGTTAGCACAACTATAAAATTACGTGTGTAAAATAAGTTCCCAAATCAAAACTATTAATGCTTTCATCTCTAATGTGGGAAATCTGTATTTAATAGAAAAAATTACATAATCTCCAAAAAAATTGAAAAATTATGATCTACATAAATCATAAAGATCTCTAGTGTTAAGCAAAAACACTTCACAAATGACATGCAGACTCTTACAATTTAACTGTATCATAGATATTATTTTCTTATTTTGTTGGCCAGGCCACATCTTTGACATGGTAAGTGAAAGTAAAGTGGTCATGTTACTTCACAATTACACACTCATCTTTAGTTTATGCAGGAACACAATAAATCTATAAACTTTGAATTTGCATGTAAAACTTGAAAGATGTAAATCAAGCCATTTTTTCCCCCATTTCTCATTTTTTTTTAAATATTCAAGTTTTTTCTTTTATTTAATCTCACAAGACACAAACTCTTATTAGGAACACTAAGTGACTTTTTGTTAGATAAGGAAATAATCTCAATAAAAACTTTTTTTCTGTAGATCATTTAAAAATCTTCAGATGCCTTGAGCCCTCGAGGAAGTGTAAACAAATATCTTCCTTATAGTTCAACACTCAAATCACCTTTACCTTTAGTTAATACTCTAAACAGAGAGGCAAAGAATGTTGTATTTCTAAACAGACTGAAAGACAATCTAGCTTAGGCAATACAGGACAAATGAAATTAACTTAATGCAATCTTACACTGTAGTACAACTGGACTTTTTTGTGCAAGGATCGAGGTGGTGTATTTTAGATCATTACAATATTGAAAACTTATTAAAAGCTGAAAAGAAGTACATGTGCAATGTATATTGTAACGTCCTTTAATTTTTAGACATAGAGTTTGATCATTCATAAAAATACATTTGACCATCCTTCCAACCTCTTCTTTCACATATATACATGTATGTTATATGTAAGAGTAAACTACTGTGCTGTCTATAAAAAAATTAAGATTCTTTTGCTTATATATTATCCACTTACTATAATGTACGAGAGATCAAAGATGTCTTATTTCGACTTTTATTGTCCCCCAGCTGATGAAAGTGGGGGACATTAATTTCGATCTGTTTGTTTGTCTGACTTTCTGAAACACTTTCGTTTCCACCTGATATCTCAAGTAGCCTTGAGCTTCTGCAATGAAATTTTACACAATAACTCTCTAGGGCCTAAGTGAGATCCTTATCGATTTTGAGGTCAAATACGGTCAAAGTCATAAATATAAAATTTCTGTTTCTAACTCTTTTGAGAATTAGCGTTTGAGCTTTTGCGATTACATTTTATACCACAACTCCCTATGGCCTAAGGACGACCCCTATTGATTTTCAGGTCAAAAGTCAAGATCATAAATTCAAAAACTGTGTCTGTTTTAACACTTCCACCCCATATCTCAAGAAGCATCTGAGCTTTTGTAATGATATTTTATACCACAACTCCCTATGGCCTGCGGAAGACCCACATTGATCTTTAGGTCAAAAGGTCAAAGATCAAGGTTGTTTATTCATTAATTCTCTCTCTGTGTGTAAAGCTTTTATTTCCGGGCAACATCTCAAGAAGCTGTTAAGTTTTTTCAATTAAATTTTAAACCATAATTCCCTATGCCCATCCCACCCTTCTAAGATTGCCCCATTCCCCTCAACCCCCCCCCCCCTTTTCAAGGTCAGCACATTCTCTTCTTGTTTCCCTTCAGCTGGAGACACAGATTCTCTGAATGAAACATATGGAGATACTGAACCGTATTTGAGATAAAAAGTCCATAAAACAATACAAAATAGGAGCAGAGCAAAAAAGGCCTTCCAAAACATCAGAAGTGCAGGATCAGGTGCCATGAAGGACTGAGCATCCCCTGCTGACTGGTCACACTGTGTGCTCTTTGTCATGATTGGGAAATAATGGAAAAGTCTGTCATCAATTCAGTGTCTAAATAACAGTCAAACATTTAGTATGATAATTAGCTTGTTGTTAACTAGTATTGGTTAACTTCTACATGCTCTAGGGTCTACTGTGGAATCATTAGATTTCGTGGAGTCTCAATTTTCGTGGAATTAGAAGGTAACCCACATTCATGAATAATATATTCTCCGTGAATTAATATTTGGATTTTATAAAAATTCTTTACTGCTTTTGTAGGTTAATTAGTGAATAGATGAAATGTCATCCCCTCAAACCCATAAAATTTTAGCAATCAATGAAAATTCCACAGTATATGAGTATATGATAGTACATTAACTTTCAATTTCAAATTAGGGTAAATGTATATTGAAGTTTGGGATACAAGATTCTGCCCAAAGGGCTATAATTCAAACTTGAAATCTGAATTATTTGGAGTAGTCTGCAAATTAAAACGGACAAAGTATAGATAAGCCTTTTTTCTAATAGAAGACTTTTAAAGGTTTAAATACTTTCTTCATTTCTTGGCAACTTTGTGCCCCATCCCAGTACAGAATTGAATACTTTTGCAAACAAATGTCATTTTGATGCTAGAATTCTGTGGCTCTGCAGTTCTTGAGAAAATGCTTTAGAAATACTTTACCCTTTTGAAATACTTTACCCACTACATAAATTTCATTGTAAAGCTACATGTATAATTACGCAAAAAGTTTCTAACCATTGTGACACAGACAGTAAAACATTGTAATGAGATAAACTGGCAAGTTATTGCATGGGAGTATGAAGTGGGGGTGGGGGGGGGGGAGAACTATTCATTACAGTTTGTAGAATTCTTTTGGTGAGAAAAATCTATTTGGGAAAGAAAAATTCTTTATGAAAAATAATGCATGTAAATAGCACAAGGAATTATAATATCTCATTCAATCTGAAATACTGTTGACTTTATTCTTCATCAGATGTTGTCACTTAAGATTTTACAGACATTAAATTGTAATCATATAATAAAAGACACCTGCTCCGTACTTTTGCAGCAAAGAAAAGAAGAATGTTTTCCAACATTTGCCTTATCCAATAATCTACCGGTAATGCAATCATGCCAATTTATAGAGTTTTCTGGTTGTAATCCACCCATTGTTTGAGGAACCTTCCAAGACTTTAGAATTTAAAATAATAACTGCTGTTTAAAAGAATGAACTCTCAACTTACATAGGCATGAACTGTCTCAGAAGACTTTGTTTACAATCAGCAACATATTTTACCAAAACATTGATATCATTGGACATAGAAATTAAAAAATTCTGATCAAACAAAATTAAAAACTACAATTCGTCTCAATTAAGAATAAATGAATTCAAATCATTTTATTGGGCATGTACATTTCACCAGTCCATTTCAATTAGTCTAGCTCTCTTTTGTCTTTTATTGACAATCATTTTACAGGCATAGACCATTGATTAATCTATGAATATATGCTAAGAAGACTGCATGACTTTTTGTTACAGTACTTTTTATTAAAATGCCCAATCCCCTCCCCCCTTCCCGATTTATGTCAAAAATACAGTACATGTACCTTTAATACTGTAGATTCCTAATTATATGCGAGGAATTAATTTCAGCGTAATTTCGCGAAAAGCGTCACTCGCGAAAAAATACTACTCGCTTTTATTTTTATGGTACTGAAATCTATGGAAATTCTGTTGGTCAATCGTCCATTCGCGAATTATAATTCTCGCGATTTGACGTTCAAGACCTGGTTCGCGATAAAAAGTACTCGCGAAAAATAAGGAATCTATAGTACCCAAAATCACTTTTTTTTCACGAGAACTTTATTTTTGTGAAAATTATGTCTCGCTAATAAAGAGTCAATGACAACCTTGTGAAGAATTGTTGCGAAAATTTAGTGATTGATAGTAATAAGAAATATAATGTATGTTGATGATCAGACTATAACTTTATGGTGCTATCACATCATTTGTCAATCCCCTTTTACACCATCACTTTATTAACATCACATCATACCACTAAATCATTATCTCATCAGCAACCCAAACCTTGATGATGCAATGAAGCTACAGTGAACTATATGAGCCCTATCTATATAATCCCCTCACATTTTATGCTTTTATGATGTCACAAACATTCTTTCCGTAATGATGTGTGAATTTTAGATGTTGGTAATACATAAATTGGATAAAATCGAGACTCCAACTTTAACATAAAGCTACATGACTTTGTCAAGTCCCTTTTGTCTCAGGGGTCATATAAACTTTTAAAATATATAGCTTGAAAAAGTGACTTGACTTCAAGCAACATGAATGAAAAATTTAAAGTGTTTCTTTTGTGGAGTTTGTTTCAAAATACAAAATACTTTAAAATGTAAAAGAAAGTTTTGGCATATAAAACTCGACTGCACTGTTAAGCAAGCAAAAAGTGCAAAATATAATTGACAGTAAAAGCAAAGGTTGTATCTTCATTGTTATCTGTTCTATGTCAATTGACATATTAAGGTATAATGACACTTTTATCCATACATGTAGCAAAAAACTCAAAACAACATTGAATTGGAAGCATGCAAAGACATGGAATATATATTCTGATTATTCTTTAAAGATTGTGTCCCAAAATCATTGGTCTATCAAAGTTCTCTTGTTGGGACTTATAAGACCATGATAACTTTTTTTTATTTTTATGTACATGCATATCATTGTCGGAACCTACTGGTTTTCTCTCTGTTACACTGCATTTAACCAGGTTGAATGCTGTGTAACAAAGAGAAAACTGGGGGTTCCGACATCGACATGCATATGTAAGGAGGGTAGATTAATTGTTGCAATATTTTTTTGCTTTAGCTAGGCCAGACAATAACTGATAGTTTTTTTTCTATGAAACTTTATACTTTCAAGAATTGAGAAACATTTTCATGGGTCATACTGCAAAGATTCTACTTTAAAATTTGCCAATCTTCACATTTTTGTGTCAGATTGTTTTGTTTTTTTTTCATTTAATTTTTTTCTATTTGAAATATATATATATCCAACACTATGCATAATAAAATTGGATATTGCTCTGACATGTGACCTTGATATTGTTTCCCACCCATAAGTGTCAGCAATATGGTAGTAATTACAAGGCTTTGTACCTCTGAAGTTGTACAGTTTGTTAAAAGCTCTAGGACAATGCCTTAATTTATATATATAGTCTTCAGCTTCTCCTAGGAAGTTCTCCAGAAAAAGGAGGTAAGAATGTTATATCTTAAGTTCATATTCATATTAACTGAACATTTGACAGATTTGCAGCTGAATTTAGATTTTGAATTTAGATATTTTATCAAAAGTGTTATTTACTCACATTTGACACATCAAAGCAGACTCTCCGACATCAGACACAGAGCTCTACTTAGTTTTTCAACTATGTCATGTGTATAGAATTTAAATCTACTTAGCATAATTTCAGAATATATATGTATGTGTTTAAAAAAATTCCACAGACAGACATGTTCAAAGCCTGTCCAGAAAATCTGTTTCATACAAAATCATAAAAATTTGTTAGCAATGAACACGCTTTTTTATTGCTAAACAATTTCAACTGCAGTGTTTTTCTATTTAGTTTCTTTTTTATTCCATGCAATGCTTGTACATGTTAAGTCTATATAATAATTTTTGGAAAAATATGTAATATTTTGGCTAAACTGACCATCTGTATGGGCAGATAAATTTTTTTGATTCATCATCGTAAATTTTGAAATCATGCAGATCTATCAAAATGATGTACCGGTAGCTAACAGATATTTTGTATACCATTAAGAAAGATGAATACTTGATGTCTTTTTAAGTAATTGTAAAAAAAAGTTTGTGACTTAAAATGAACAGTGTCACACAATTCACAGCACACAATGTAGAAATCAAATGGTGATACTGATATTTGAATGGCTGACATTTGGAGTTTTCTCCACAAAGTTGGGAATCCATCAGTTATGATTTATCTACTATCATCACAAGAATACATCGCTACTATTTAAATACTACACTGAACACAACACTGTGACAAAGGACAACTCCATGCAAACTCAGACAACACCAAATTCTACAAAAAGCACATCAGAACATATTGCTTCACATCAGAATGTTGTAACATGTGTGGTCTCTTCAAATTTAATTTTATTTAATTTACTAGCAGTATTCAAAAATAAAATTCAAGAAAAAAATTATTAATTTTGAATATGAAGTATTAATTTCTTGTCACTGAGATATAAAGTAAAACTAATACAAAATCAAAAATCTTATTTTTTAAAAATCACATGAATTTTGATAGATTTAAATGTAAGTAGATGAGTATAACTGTTAGAGTACAGGCACATTCTGATGTGATTTTTTGTTTTGGTTTCTAAGACCTGCCTGCTCTGCATTATTTGCAGCATTCCATTCTCTATTCCACACTTCAAGAGAAACCTAAACAAGATCATTCATAGAGAGAATATATACAAATGAAGAAAAGAATTTCATAGCCCATGAACAAGGTCATTAGCATTGATATTTGAAATGACATTCCAAACTTCAAGTGAAACTTGAATAAGCTCATTAATAGAAAGATTATATATGTGTTCAAACATGGGAAAAAAGTATTTCACAGTTAATGAACAAAGTCAACAGTATTACATGTATAAGTTATTGTAAAAAGATCATAATATGAAAAGGCATAGAGAGAGACTGCCACAGTTCTAGTTTATGGATATCTTTAAATTGAGTATGACACTTACTGTAACAATGATGTTCCTGAATGCCTTGTTATGAACACTGGTATTGATTTTCTATAAAGAAAAATTTCTTGTAAGATTACACTCTTTATCATCTAGTCCACTTATCTAAAAAAAATTCCATACATGAAATCAGCCAAGCGCAGAGCCTTTATTTTATGAAGATTGTGTTAAGGGGAACAACTCTTTCAATCATTAGTTTCAGAGTGTATATATATACCTTTTTCTTTTCTGGATTAGCTTTTAAAAATAAGGCATTTAAAAGGGCTAGAGCATTCTTCTGTAACTCTGGTCTACAAGAAAAAGAAATAAAAAAAAAAATTAAATTCATTGCAATAGTTCATGTAATTGCATTATAGGTATACTGGGTAAGATTAAATCATTTTACCTCCTCTAATAAGTTATCAGCAATATGTTTTCTGTGTTTGTAAAATAGAACGAAAAAAATCTCTTTTTTCCTTAATTACTTTTGATTACATTAACTTTATGCCCAGTAGATAAATATTTTCTTACTTACCCCCGGTAATTGAAAATAGAAATATATTTTCCAAAATTAATTCTAGCTTCTTGAGTATCACAAAAGAGTAGAAACTAATAAATCACAAGTTATGTTTATCTGCCTTAATGTCTACTGAAAGTTAAGTGGTAATCCTAATGCTTAACTTTTGTCTACCATAATTAACTAAGTGAAATGAAGTCTTTGCCTGCTCTAGTTTTGGACTTACTGCTGGAGATGTGACTATCTTAATTAACTGACTAAGCAGACTGAACTCTTTGCCCGCGCTAGTTTTGAACTTACTGCTGGAGATGAGGGTTTATTCTCTCTGGAGTCACTTGTGCCTCCACTTCTTTGTGCTTGTGTAAATTGGTACTGAAAAAAGATAGCCAGCAACTACATAATAAATGTTAATATGTGTCAACTAAATAATCAAATACAATGTACCATAATTTATTCTCCATTTGGTTTTGATATCAAAAAGTTGTGTCCATAAATACCAATATTCCCAAAGTGAATATATAATAACGTGAATCAGTTAAGACACTTACCTGTTCAGGATGACCGATTCTAAAATTTCTAAGGATGGCTGAATTATTTTAATTCCATGTTTCGGACTAGAAATGTAATCAGTGATCTGAAACAAAGAACAGATTATCTTCAAAAGCCACATTAAGTACAATATACTGCACATCAGACATGCAAGTTTGCACATCACAAGTGTACATGTTAAAATCGCTTTGCATTCAACATGAACAGGAACATGAATGATAAAAAAAAATAAATCATGAGCAGTTTGATAAAAGTTATAAACATAGTTACCTTCTTTGTGAACTCTGGTTCAATAGTATCCCATGATACAACATTGTGTTCCATCAGAGAAACAAATGACTTCAACAGCAAGGCCATAGGGTCTCCATGGCTGAAAATAAATCACAACTTATTTTAATATTTTTAACTTTCAAGGTTCATGAGAAGCATTTCTATATAGTTTTCAATTACGGCTAGGGTAAGAAGTTGGAGGAGGATGAATAAAGCTTACTATTTTGCTTCTCGTATGAACTGTTTGATCAGTTCATGTCCTTCGTTTGTAATGAACTCCATGGCAAATGTTATGTCTGAGGCCAGATTGCTCAACTTTTCCATGGCTGCCAATTTTTCCTCACCAGCACTTTTTCCATCTTTCAAGGTATCATAGATTTGTTTGGCCGTTCTAGCCTGTAAAAGAACATGTAGCACATGTATAAAATGATTAAAAACATAACCTCCGTCAATGGTTAATTTTTTTGGCGTTTTAAATACAGACAAATCTTGTTATCTCTAACTTTTAAGGATCCAAAATTAAACTCCATGATATCCAACAATTTGAGTTAACAGGAAATAACAAAAAACTTACAGAAAAATCGTTTGGGACTGCCAATTGACTTTTCACAGGTATTTGAGATATCCGTGTTTGAGATATTTAAGTTTAATTGTGTATAAAAAGATTCTATAATGCTATCTTATCAAATAGCTCCAATAAGCAAACTGATGATCAAAATCTCTTAGTCAGGGAACCAAGTAAATTTATTTACATTTTTTTTTTTGCTTTAGCAAAGAGTTATACTGAGGCCTGTTCAACAGAGCTAGTGCTTGTGAACACTTCTGTTGGAGGTATATGAAATTTTGGCGAGTGCTTGCAAGTGAAATGTTTGCTCTGTTGAACAGGACTCTGCTTTGACAGTTACCTCTTCAATTTTAGACTGTTTATCACAGAGCCATTAAGGTTTCATACACATTTTGTGCAATATTAATTATCAGCAATATCCAGTGATAGAAACTGATGAATTTACAAATCAAAGTCTCAAATCAAAGTCTTAAAATGACAGTAAATAAATATATTTTAAAAATTAATTTATATATATGCATGTATATTAAAAAATGTTATTTTAATTAGTAGACTTACTGGAGAAGAAGTCAAGACCAATACATCACCATTGCTGATATCCAAACGGTTCTGTAAAAGATCAAATACATTCATATTTTAACCATTCTTTAAAAAATTATTTAAGGTTTACATACACACGAAAAAACACAGTCTATATACATGTACTGCAATCAAAAGCAGATCAAATGTAAAAATCCATCAATAAAACAATTTTGTTTTTTCCAGGTAAAATACCTTTTTTTTCAATTTACAGTTCCTTAACTGCAAATAAACATGCATTGATGTAAAACACAATTCTCACCCTTTCTGTAATGTATATATTTAGCTGACGCTTGTCAAATTGTATGGCATATTCTTCTGGTTGAGTTATTCCCCATCTACCAAAAAAAAAAAAATTAATAAATAAATATGAAATATTGTAATTTCCTGTTAATTAAATCATGAAAGTTTTGACTTCTTAAAAAGCAGTACAAAATTTCTAAACAATAGTCTTTTAGAGAAGGTGCAACTTTTTACACAATGGACAATGATAAAATGAAGCTTTTTATATAAATATTACATAGAACTGTTCTTACTTTTCACAAATATCCTGGATGATGCCAGCCAATGGACGATTCTGTCGGGAATAGAGTACAGATTAATTAATATTAATTTCATTGGTACATGTATTTCATACATAATATTTGAATACTTGATTCAGTATAACATTGACTTAAGAGATAATGTAGTTCAAAATGAAAATTAAAGATAATTGAATTATGATATAATACTATACAATAAATGAAATACACACTGGTAAACATATAAATCCCTAGAACTTTGATGTAAAGGGTAATATCCAATGTGTGAAAAACAATCTTCATTTTACTATTTCCTCATACCTGCCTCCTATATGCATGCAAAAATCACTCTTCTCCTTAGGAGACTTTGTATGCAATTTTCTTAAATCTTGGGCTTCATGTTTCATTAAGGACCAAGTTAACAAACTGCCAGTGATAGTCTGACAATGATTGAAGGTTGATTGTGTAATTATTTACTCTTTACATGTAACAACTGCTTCCATTGAAGGAACTGGTCATTGACACAGAAAAAAAATAACTCTTGGGCTGACAGACACAAAATTGGTCTACCAATGTCAAAATTGGTCAAGTCAACAGCCAAAGAACAACTGACTGTCACCCAAAGAATCTTAGTTTTGCCTCAAAAACTATTTTCAATAATCTGACGAAATAAGAAGTAATCATAGTTATACACTTCTCAGTTCTAAATGCACATACAGTGGTGTACAGTTATCCAAACAGGGAAAAATACACTTTTTGCTTAATAATATTAAAAAACTACAATGTCAAAACCATCCTTGGGATGCTTTTTCTTTTCTTTTCTTTTTTGATAATGTCACAGTGTGTGACTGAGTAATCAAATACCTTTCAATATTTTTTTTTTATTTCTCACATAAATATATATGTATATTTTTGGGTGAAAAACTGCATGTAAATAAGCTGAATTGAATGTCAAAATAAAGCTTCATAAGCAGCTCATTCAAGCTCTATAGCATAAGTCAAAAGATTGTGCTGGTCCTGGTTTGACTGGTTTTGGTTTTGTACAAGTAAATTTAATTTCCTGAAGCCAAAGGCTTTCTAACATTTTCTTACAGTAATTTGTCATAAATTAACAAATATCTGAGCATCGCATTAACCTGATCGAGTTCTAAGAACAAAGCCTGCTGTCCTGGTTTGGTGATGGCCACTTTCTTTATGTTATCCAGCTGGTTTTTCGAAGATATTCGGACATTAAGTCCAGGAACTTTCTCCGACATTTTGGCACGTAACAGTAGGTGACTTCAAATAAACACTAACTTGGAAGACAATACAAAACTAAATCAAAGTTTGAACACATTTCAGCTTCCTTCTTTCACACTTCCCTGTTTAGGAAGTCATCCTTGTTTTTATTCCGATCCCGATGTTATTTATACCGATTTTACCTCCATGAACTGAAGAGCTGTCGTCGTGTGCAGGGCTTAGCAAGCTCGTGATTTGAGCAGATATTGTATCTGCCTTATTGATATGATTCCAACGATATGAATGGTGGCAGCTCACGTAAAGTTCGATGTATCTTAATCTGCAATTTCATCATAAACTTCAGGTAATTACAACTGATAAACTGTGAACATGGTGAAGTCAACTGGTCAAGGAATATTATTCTGACATCAGTCTGTCAGTTGCTGTGACTGACACGTTTTTGAAAAGCCGGTCAACCATGCATCATGTTTATATGTTACAGTGATATATTTATTTCCTTGATATAAATGAGTGTATGAAATATAGTTAACTTATCAAGAAATGTACATAGTGATGATGTCACTCAGTCACTGTCAAATGAAATTTAAGAGAGGTGTATTATGTATGTTTTCAAATGTATAACGTTATTATGGTTAAAGCACACGCCACAGGCACCTGAGCTGTTTCCTATATGGGTCATCCCCTACGTAATTTTACCACAAGGTACCTAACTCGATTTCAGACACCCGCTCCAAGCTTGTATTTTTAATATATCAATCATTAACCTACTTTAAATCATTTGGTTCGACAAACATTTTTTTTTCAAACTAATCATTTCAAATGTGTCTGTTTGAGGCTCTTTATTGTAAACCACTCAATTATTCTTCAAAAATTACCTTGATACGCACAATATAAGCTAGACTTTAGACGGAATACAGAACTTTCGTTTGGGTTTTAAATGTGGTATAACACCGGATACCTCATCATTCTCTGGATTTATCCTACATTTCAATCCCAAGTACAAATTTTGTATCCCATCTTAAGTCTATTGATAAAACCTTTTGAGGTAATTTTCGAGGAATAATAAATGTAGTTTACATTAATGAGTCTCTACCAAAAATGTTTGAAATGATAAATTTGACTAGAAAAATTTTGCCTGCATGAGTAGGTTAATGATTGATATACATATATTAATAAAATACGAGCTTGAAGGAGGGATGCCTGAAATAGGTATGTACCTTCAATTCTGGTAAAAATAAAAAGGGGTGCCCCTTATATGATTGAAACTAGTGCTTGTGCATTATAGGGCTATTCTTTAACAATATTTTTCAAGTTTAGACCCTCTTTCTACACAGAGACAGAACCAAAGTTTTTCCTGACATTCTGTTATGCGACAGTTATGATCATGCACTGTTCACATATTTGAATATTTTCAGCATTTTTGTAATCTGCACAATCCAACAAAAAACTCCACAAACATACAGTGATGTCTTAGAGCATCAGCAAAGCAACGAATATGGTGCACATTCAGGATCTACCAGCAAAGATGGACATTCAAATGGTCGTAAGTCATTACCAGGGGAGCACAGTTACACTGAGAACGATGGACTAGATATATTACAGCCTTATAAATACCACCATGGTCCTCGACATCGAACACACCGCCAAGTAAGAGAGTGCCAAGATGTTAAGTATGGAAATGTCACTCATTCCAAAATTCTGTCTCATGGATTTAATAAAAACCTAAGTCTTCCAATCACTGAAACCAGACATTTGATACATGTTATAAGACAATCTTACTATGTAAGACGAGATGTGCTAATGCATTTTTCTGTGATAAACAATCCATTCCAAACTGTATCTGTCCTTGAGCCAAAGATGGAGCATGGATGTAAAGAGGGAGAGGGAATAAGAGCCTCCGTACTGGAGTCAGCTAAGCAGGAGGATTGCATTGTAGCAATTAATGCGGGTTTCTTCAACACCACTAGTGGAGCATGCTTAGGTATCAATCTGTTGATCTCAATAAGTAAAGTATTAAAAGCATAATGATCCATCTTAAGTATATTTTCAAGATTATTTTTGAGAAATGTAAAGTCATGCGTTTACACATGAAAATCATTAGTATTTTGGCTTACAGTTACATTTATTCTCTCATGTACATGGAGAAATCAACCGATTTAAAAGCTACATTCTTTCAGCATGGAGAAGTCAGCTGAAACAATGTAGCTTTTAAATCGTCTGATTTCTCCATGTAGTACATAAAAAAAATAACAATGTTTTTATTTTCCATGCAGGAAATGTTGTCAGCAATGGGAGAATAGTGCAAGACTCTGGCGGAATACAGAATGCTCACTTTGGAATTACAAAGAGTGGACATCTCTACATAGGGTATGTAATGACATGCTGAGTTATTACTGGTAGTTGTTAAAATAAATATTGTCTTGCAAGCTAAAACTTGGTGTCTCTTGACTTTATTGGTAGTAGAAGTATAGGTGACAAATTTTTAAATGAAGAGCTTTGATTGCACAGTCCTTCATTATGAATGTATATGTATTGAGACAATACACATACATGAACAGGTACATGCATTTTAAGATTTTACCTGAGTACTTTATTGTGTATGGATATAGCCTTTAGTTGTATCCTGCTTTTGCAAAAGTGGAGGGACATTAAATTTTGTTCAGCAGTCAGTCATTCTGTCTGTCCAATTTTTTTTTTTATCTTGGACATAACTTTTGAATGAGAAGAAATAGGACTTTCATATTTCGTAAGTGTATTATCACTAAGACACTGAAAGAGGGGGGACCACAATTCTTTGAATTTGCTTGTTATAAGTTACGTCTCAGTGAGAAAAAAAAAACAATCAACTTTGTATGTATTTGTAGATATCTATCTGAGATTGATTTAATTACTGAGGATTTTCAACAGCTGGTGGGAGGTGTGCTGTGGTTGATTAGAGATGGCAAGTCCTATCTGGATGAGAGCCTTAAAATTGAGTGTTCAGACATGGAAGAAACAGGTAAAAATTACTCATCTTAAACTATAAAGGACCATTAAATACACACTTTATCCAGAAGCAGTATATTGTTATACAAATGCAAAAGTTCACTACTTTTAAATTTTTTTAAAGAAATTTTCCAGTATACAAGCCAACAAATAAATTAATTCACCAATGATTTTACCATAGATTTGAAATTAATAATGTTACAATAATGTTTTGCAGGCTTTATAAACATGATAGATGTGATTAACATTTCAGGCACTTTGGACTATTTTGCATCAGTAATGTCAGCTAGAACAATTGTTGGCCATGACAAAGAAGGGAGAGTTATATTTATGCAAGCAGATGGAAAAACTGGAGAAAATGGGTATGAATTTGTTATTTACCCACTGGAAGGCTGAAATCAAGAAAATATAGCAACTATAATTATACATTTCACTCCTTATAAAATGGTTTTAATATCTTGAAGACCTTATATTATGAATCTTATGTTGGCATGTTAGAAATATGCCTCATAATTGATATGTGCATGCTACAATGGTTGAAATATTCATGATGGATTAATGATCGCAGAAATTCTTAGATTGCCAACACATTGAACTTTTAACCAACATATTCCACTTTAACAGTACACTTAATTCATTGTGGAAAGTGAAACTGTTTATATAATAGTGTTGCATTATGCATGTACTATGCCTAAATAGTAGGCAGGGTTTGACACATGGTGCACGAGCCGGAGGCGAGTGCACTATGTGTCAAACCCTGCCTACTATTTAGGCATAGTACATGCATAATGCAACACTATTGTTACTATTATGCTGACTGTTGTAATTATTTATGCGGCAATCCATTTGACTTTTTCCTGAAAATATCGGTGCTAACACAGCGCACTTGCAAGAACTCATTCAAAATCTTCATGCTAAAATTGGTTGCATTTTTAGTTATTTTGGTTGCTAGTTTTTTTTCTAAATAAGTCGGGATTTTCTGTCCCAAAGCAACTCATCTTTATTTTCTGTTTTGATAGTAAGTCTTATTTGTTTGCAGACGTCGATTCTCATTGATAATTTTCTTTTACATCCTTCAATCAAGCGTCATATAAAAAAGCGTTTTAATGACCCTATGAAATCAGTTCATCTAACGATCTATATGTAATTAGTTTGAAACTTTGTTGTACACATTAATCTAAGGTTCCTTAGAATAATATAACTGTTTTCAAATAATATTTGTCTATTTTCTCCCTCTTGTGTCAATTGTATAAATTAAGATTATATATTTAATAAAATTCTACCAATCAGTGATCGTCTCTGTGGCGTAATCGATAAGGCATCGCACTGACAATCTCATGGTCGGGAGTTCGATCCCCGGTGTGTGCATTTGAAGAATTTTATTCAGTAAAGAAAGTCGTGCACTATTTCGGCATAGTATGTTTACGCTATATAAATCCTTAGACCACTATGCGAGAATATTAGGGTATGGGTTATATAGAGACAAACTGACAGGAAGCATAATAATATTTTATATCATTTTGTAGCTTAGACCTGAGAGAATTTATTGACGTGATGCTAGAGTATGGTATTGTCAATGCAATCAACTTGGATGGAGGGGGTTCTGCAACATACACTGTGAATGGAACTCTTGTAAACTACCCATCAGACCAGTGGTATGCAGATTAATATTTAGCTATTATATTTTTATCACTTTCTACTTCAATGTAAAGAAGATTAATTTTTTATATTAAAAGCAGCTAAAGAACAGGGCATTTGTAATTGATATTAATATCTCTGAAAATAAATGCATATAATCAAGTTTTTAAACATAGGAGAAAGGAATGTATTTTGAAGCGCAAGGGTTTGTTCTGTAACAGTTATTGATAAAGATATACAATCATTGCAGCATGGACGACAAGAAATTCAACTGTGCTAGAAATGTGTCCACTGTTCTTTGTGCTCATCGACCAAGATGTCCAGAGGTCAACTGCTCAGGTCATGGAGCATGTGTATTAGGGACTTGCCACTGTGATAAATACTGGACAGGAAGTAAATGTGATCAGTTGTTTTGTTCAAGAAACTGTAGTGGGCATGGAAAATGCACGAAAGGTATGAAAATTATTTTTTTCAGAATTCATGAGGACGTTAACTACAATACGTCATGAAAGTAAATAATGAATAATATTATTATATATATATCTCAAGGTATTTATGATAAATGTGGATTTTCTCTATAATTTTGCAAGCATACTACTCAATTCATACAGTACACATAATTATATAACATTACTACAATTTTTTAGATGGTTGTTCCTGCGATGCTGGTTGGCGTGGTGACACCTGTAACAACACCTGCCCACCTGGACAATATGGTGTCGGTTGCGAGTTCAGGTGTACCTGTCTGAATGGTGCTGAGTGTGACAGTGTGAGTGGAGCATGTCACTGTCATTCTGGTTATACAGGGACCTTCTGTCAGGACGGTAAGAATTATATAGTCTACATTATTATGTACGCAATATAACATATATTTAGATTTTGGTCATTGGTTAAATATCAAACCAAAGGTTAAGGCATTTATGGTACCTTTCGTAATAAAGTGATGTTATTACTCAATTATAATGTTAATATAAAAATCTCTTTTCACTATAATTGAATGATACTTACAGATTTAGAGGTCATGAAAGATTAATTTTAAAATTATTTTTTCCGTGAATGTTCATATTGAATACAATACTTTACTTGCTCATTTGTCAAGGATTAAAGATCAATATATTGTAAGGGTATTGAGCCCTCTGAGCTTTGAATTTTGCATATTTCACAGGAGGTATTTGTTATAATTGGTGACAGTGCGGTTATTTTCATCCTTAATTCTTAAAATGAATTGAAGCAAATTCTGAACACCTGAGTAATTTTATTTAGTGTGTCCCTATGGTTACCATGGCGACTCTTGTAAGGACCAGTGTCTATGTGACGATGGCTGTCCTTGTCATCCAATCACAGGAAGCTGTAACTTCTCCAAATTAAATACCGACATTCAGAAAGGTATCATCTCACAGGGAATTCTAGAGATAACTTAATCAGAATACAACAATTTGAATACTTCCAAAAGATTAAAGTATCATATCACACAGAATATAGTCCTTGTTAATGCTAACTTTATTAATAGATTGATTAAATACTACTGGATTGAATTAGGAGAATTGAATGTTAACTGACAAGGGATGGGAATTAAACTTGTTCAATGTGTGTACCAGCCCAAGTGTAAATTTACATTGCTATGAAATTTAATTTTACAGCTAGTGTGTGTTTTTCTCAGAAGAAAATCAAAGAAGAGCATCTAGTCCCAGACCAGTCCAGTGTTTACAGGTTTCAATTTTTGTCCTCATCAATTGATTCATGAAAAATAAATCTTAATCAATACATGTAATACAATTAGTACTTAATCCAGTGATTACCAAACATTTCTAATTCTATATGCTTAACATTTACTGCAAATCTTCCTAATTTTTAAATATTATTTATCTAAATGTGCCAGCATTCTTTAAAACTTTTCCTCTGTTTCAGATCCTGTCTACTAGCTTTAATTATAATCAGCGTCTTGGCAGTTATCAGTTTGTTGATAAATATAGTTTTAGCATACAAAGTGTACACAAAGAAAAAACACAAAAAACCGCGGCACAAGAAGGCAGTGTTAGCGAAGTCCAAACAGCTGTACAGGTTTCCGAGCTCCGACACGGATGGAGATCTCTCATCCCTCAGTGATTGTCCCATGGAACAAACCAGCTTTATCAAGAAACAGAAAGGATACTCATAAAGTTTATATAAATATAATTTAATTAATACATGTCTTCCTTGAATGCAATACATGTGATTGTACCAGAAATTAGCATCAGATTAGAGTGATCGATGGTTGATAAACAGTCAATTTTTTTTCCAACTGAAAATTAATACAAAAAGTTGTATTTAGTTATTACATACTAGATTACTGGAAGGACACAATAGGACATTGAAATATGTACTAGGTAGTAGTAAGGCAGAAAAAATCCTTCCTTCAAGAACAAAAATATGTATTCCCATATTATGTAGACTTGTATTATACTGGCTCCTGCATGGGGCTAGGGTGGGGCAACAATAAATAAATCTGACAATCAGAATAAGGAGATTTATTTTTGTCTGGAAGAGATTGTAGTCACATGTGAGTGTCGTGGTCCATGATACCTTTTATTTAAATCTTAAACTCTGTGTAAATTTTAATAGTATAAACTATCTTTTAGCATTTTTTTATTACATGTATGGTCAATGTTATTGACTTGATATCGCACGGATTTTTCTGTTGTATTCAAAATTCTTTGTAAAAATCTTTCTCAGTTAAGAGTAAATTTTTGGAAACTTGGGAAGCCTGTGTGAGATAAGAAAGGGGAGCTCAAGTTTATAAACAATGCTATTTTGATATCTGAAAAATAGTTTTATTAAGATTTTTCACTAGATCGAGTAATCGGTGATTCATGTGTATTTATTCTTAGACTATAGTGCTTCCTTCACAGTACTGTACATATACTGACTTCTCAGTATCAGGATTTTTTAGGTGACTTGAAAATTACCATGGGTATTTTGGGGATCATTTGGGATGGTATTTTTTAAGTTAGTCTGAATTAGATGCAATATACTAGTAACGGTATTAACAATTTTGTATGTTACGTACTATATGGTTTATTTGATTTATCAAATTTGGACAGACAAGTATTTACTATCTGAATACACACGCACATAAATCTGCTTGTGTCTCTCATGGTGGTAAAATGTCTAATCTAATGCTGACATTTTCTATTCATGTGTTTTTTTAAACTTTTCTATGATGGTACTAATTCATTTACTTTAAGATTTGAACAATCATGCAAGTTTTTTTTTGTTTTGTCTTAATAAAGACAAGTATTGTGCTTTGTTACATGATAAAATGTCTGTTATAATTAATCTATGTTGCCTGTTAAACTATAATCAATATTTCAAATCAGTTCCCTATTAGTTTCGATCTCATTTGGTAACTGTATATGATTCCATTCAAAATTTTTGAATTTCTCTTGTAAAATGCTGTAATAGGAATGGAATAACCTTCTCACTATAATTATAAAAAAATGTTGAAATCATGACCCCTGGGAAGGGTGGGACCACAATGTCACATTAAATGATCAAAGTTTTACATCAGAATATGTATACATTTCCGAATAATTTTCCATAAGATTCTTTGCAAATAGGGAGAATGTTCATTTTGTCATGAACTACCATGGGTGAGCATGAACATCTCCATTGTTACATCATTATGCCGCACTTGATGTCAATACTATAGTGCAAACTATTTTGCTTTAAAAATGACAGTTGAATGGGAAACATTTTGTGGCAAATCATAAGAAAAATAATGTAAATGAAATGAAGAAAAATAATGTAAATGAATTAAATTTTTGAAGATTCATGAGGTAAATGAACTACAACACTTCACTCTGACATATTTATCATGAAGCGTGCAATGCTGGCTTGAAGCATCGTAGTTCATAACCTCATGAATCATTAAAAAGTAAATTCATTTATTTCATAAATATACAAAAAAAAATTAAATCTCTCTTTCAATGACAGCTAGAGCACGATTAGAAACATAGATGTGGAAGTATCTTAGGTAGTGTCTCCATAATTGTTCAAATCATGACCTGGGGATAGAATGTGGCAGGAAAAGGTCATGAAAGTATATGAGGAAAGATACTGGGTTGCTTTCAGTAACTTTTTCACAACTGGTCAAGACATGATGAAACAAGTTGGAAATATTTTAAAGTTAGCATTTCATGAATAATTCGAAGTTCAAACATTTTAGCAAAGTTGGACAAAGACAAATAATAGCAAGTTCAAACAAAGTCCGCAAGTGCAATCAATATTTCAAAGATTTAACAAGCTCAATGAAATTTTAATTAAATGGGTCGGAAATATGAAAACATAAGTTATGCATTAAAAAGTAATAAAGAAATAATATAATAATATGAAACAAAATTAATTTAGTTAAATAAAAGATTCAAAATTTACAAATTAATATTTCAATATGTTGCAAGTAAGAGTAATTTATGGTTTTGTTTTTTTCCTTCAACTTAGTTTGAACTTTGCTAAAGATAACTATTTAAATACAATATATTTTGTAAAATTAGATCTGTGTAACTGGTGAATTAATTTATTAAATCTTATTTACTTTAAATTGAAAATATGCAGATGCTGTCAGAGATCCCCCTATTCTTTTAGTAAACAAAGTCACCTACATATGGTTCTAGTCATTGACAGGTCAATTCTATATAGTTCTTACTTTCTCTTTTACAAACAACATTTAAGGATATTTATTTTTTTAAACATATCTATATAGCATACATGCTATCTTTTCTATACATATAAATTACAAACTGCATTACTATTTTTTGTTAAAATTGACGCAGTGGTCTACTGACACACTGAAATATCTAGGCTAACTACACTTACAATGTACTACATGTACAGTGTGATAGCTTATACAAAGCAGCTGTCTGGTAATTACAAAACCAACATTATATGAGTAAATAGATATCAAATTTCCTATTATATAATGGATTGTGTAATTTTCCACTTTAAGCTCTTTAAATTAAAATAAAAAATCTGACCTAGTTTGCCTGAAGTGAATGAACTTTTCATGTAATTTTCTTTTTTTTTAATTATTCAATCATATAAATAAAACTGTCCAATTCCAAAGTGAAAGTCTTCTGTATTACTGGTATTTTTAGTACAATTTAACCCAAAAAAGAGTTTTCTTACTGTGAAAATACTAGTAGCATGAAAAAGAAAACTTCGAATTTGAAATACCCAGGAAATACATGTACATTTTGCATAATGGGTGCAAGACTTTATTTTCCTTTCACACAAATGTGCACACCCGAAGCTCATCTTTCTGTGTGTGGGTGTGTACGTGTGTGTGTGTGTGGGAGGGGGGGGGGTGAAAGTGGAATTGGAAAGATTATAGAGTAGGCCTCCTCCATAGATAGCTTTCCTGCCGGAATCTGTACTTTAGAGAAAGAATTCCACAATAGATCAAGCTTTCTCGCCGAAATCTGAATATTCTCTAGAATTTCAATCATAAATAACTTTCCCGCCAGAATATGTATACCCCAGAGTAAGATTTCCCCCATAGGTATAGCTTTCCAGGTGGAATCTCTGTATTCTAGAGTAGGATTCCCCCATAAATAGCTTTCCGACCGGAATGTGTATTCTAAAGTAGGATTCCCTCATAGAACGCTTTCTCACCGGAAACCATACATAGCTTTCCAGCCAGAACCTGTATGTACTCTAGAGTAGGATTTCCACCATAGATATAGCTTTCCAGGCGGACCATGTGCTCTAGAGTAGGATTACCCGATAGTTAGCTTCTCCGCCGGACTCTGTACTCTAGGGAAGTATTTTCCGATAGATGTTGCTTTCTTGCCGATATATATACTCTTGAGTAGGGTTTCCCCCATAAATATAGCTTTTCCGCCGGAATCAGTACTCTAGAGAAGGATTTCCCCAATAGATCAAGCTTTCCCGCTGGAGTCTTCACTCTAGAGTATCTAATTTCAATAGATAGCTTTCCAGTTAGAATCTGTACTCAAGAGAAGGATTTCCCCATACATATGGCTTTCCTGCCGAAATATTTACTCTGGAGTAGGATTTCCTACTTTTGTACGCTTAATAGGATATCCCCAGAGATATGGTTTTCCCGCCAGAATCAGTACTCCAGAGAAAGATTTCCCCAATAGATCAAGATTTCCCGCCGGAATCTGTACTCTAGAGTAGGGCATCTCCAAAGATAGCTTTTCCGCCCAAATCTGGGTATTCTACAGTAAGACTTCCAACATAGATGTAGCTTTTCAGGCAGAATCTGTACTCTAATGTACGATTACCCCATAGTTAGCTTTCCCGCCCGACTTTGTACTCTAGAGTATGAATTCCCCATAGAAAGCTAAATTCCCGGCGGAATCTGTCGTCCAGAGTAGGAACTCCACATAGAAAGCTTAATTCCCGGTGGAATATGTAGTCTAGAATAGGATTCCCCCATAAATAGCTTTCCCGCCGGAATCTGTACTCTAGATAAGGATTTCCCGATAGATATGATTTTCTTGCCGAAATTTTTTTCTCTGGATGATTGTTTCCTTCATAGAAATAGATTTCCCGCCATAATCAATACTCTAGAGTAGGATTCCCCAATAGAAAGCTTTCCTGCTGGAACCAGTACCCTTGAGGAGGATCCGCCCTACATAATTTTCCCATCGGAATCTGCTTTCTAGAAGAGGAGTCGGAATCCTTACTGTAGAGAAGGATTTAAAGTAGTTAAAGCTTTCCCACCGGAATCTGTACTCTAGAGTATGATATCTCAATAGATAGCTTTCCAGACAGAACCTGGATTCCAGAGTAGCATTCCCCCATATATCGATTTTCAGCCGAAATATGAACTCTAGTGTAGGATATCCCCACAGACAGCTTTCACACCGGAATCTCTACTCTAGAGAAGGAATTCCCTATAGATATGGCTTAAATGTCAGAATCTGTGCAATACAGTAGGATATCCCCTAGATATGGCTTTCTCGCATAAATCAGTAATCTAGAATAGGACTCCCTTAGATAATTTTCCCACAGGAATCTGTTTTCTGAAGTAGGATTCCTCCATAGATAGCTTTCCCGCGGAAATCTGTACTCTAGAGGAGAAAATCCCTTTATATTTGGCTTAACTGCCAAAATCTTTACTCTGGAGAAGGATTTCCCCATAGATATAGCTTTTTCGCCTTAATCTGTACTCTAAAGTAGGATATCTTCATAGATATAGCTTTCCCGCCAGAATCAGTACTCTAAAGAAGAATTTCCCCAATAGATCAATAGAGTATATCACCATAGATATAGCTTTCTCGCCAGAACCTGTATGTACTCAGAGTACGATTTCCACCATAGATATAGTTTTTCAGGCGGAATATGATACCCAAAAAATAGCTTTTCCGCCGGAATCTGTACTCACGTGAAGGATCCCTACAAAGATAAAGCTTTTCTGCCGGAATCTGTGCAGTAGAGAAGGATTTCCACAATAGATCAAGCTTTCTCGCGGGAGCTGTACTCTAGAGTAGGAATCCCCCATAGATATCTTTCCAAACGGAGTCTTTACTCTAGAGTAGGAATTCCCCACAAATAGCTTTTCCGCCTGTCTGTACTCTAGAGAAGTATTTCCCAATAGACATGTATTTTTCTGCCGAAGTCTTTACTCTGGATTAGAATTTCTTCCATAGATATAGCTTTCCCGCCGGAATCTGTACTCTACAGTAGAAACCCCCTATATACGTTTGCCACCAGATACCTTTCCCGCCGAAGTCTGTTCTTTAGAGTAAGACCCCCCCCCATAGATAGCTCTCCCACCGGGCTCTCTATTCACGAGAAGGATTT